TAGTCCTTTCAAAGGGTCAGTTTCTTTCCCTCTCTCTCTGCAATTTTTTACTGCAAGTTTGGGTTGGGTTCAATTTTTCTCTTTTACTTGCCTCTTTCTGTCTAGCATCTTCTGTACGGATTAGACCTTACAGACGCTGATTTAGAGCTTCTATCTCGTTGTGATGCTGGGGATCGGACAGACCTAATCAGCAAGTGGCTTCCCCAAGTCCTGTCTCGCAGACTGTGTCTGCTTCTTCATACCTCCCTATTAAGTAGCTTTCAGAAGTTATAGTTCCCAGAAATGTTTGGTTACAGATTTTCCTAGCCCCCCCCTTTTGTTTAAGGGCAGGAAAGGACCAGTAAAGTCCCTATTTTAAGCAGTAAGATCAGTTCTGGTCCCTTCCTGCTCAAAGAGGACTTTGAGTTTTGGTGAAAGTGTGGGAGAGTTGCAGGTGGTATTGAGACTCAAATTTAAGTTCCCTCACACAGTAATAAACAACTACCATATATTCCCAATGGAATTTTGATGGGAGTTTTACATGGATAGGTTTTTAAAAGAAAACTCATTTTTACAATACTGAGATGTCTATCTGGCAACTTGGTGGTCTTTCCATTTGTGCAGGTCTTTTATGCCTTTCATGAGAGTTATATAGTTTGTGTGAAGATCTTCCACCTTTTTTCAGATGACTTTAAAGATACTATCCTCTTTGCTGTAGTATGAAATCTTCAGATCATAGGAAAGCCAATATGCAGAATAGAATTATCCCTTTTTAAAAAAAAATTTTTAGGGGCGCCTGGGTGGCTCAGTCAGCTAAGCGTCTGCCTTCGGCTCAGGTCATGATCCCAGGGTCCTGGGATCGAGTCCCGCATCAGGCTCCCTGCTCCGCGGGAAGCCTGCTTCTCCCTCTCCCACTCCCCCTGCTTGTGTTCCCTCTCACTGTGTCTCTCTCTGTCAAATAAATAAATCTTTAAAAAAATAATAATAAAATAAAATAAACATTTGTATTTATTTAGAGAAGGGAAGCAGGAACAGGAGAAGGGGCAGAAGGAGAGGGAGAAATAGACTCCCCACTGAGCCCAGAGCCTGATGTGTGGCTTGACCCCAGGACCTCAAGATCATGACCTGAGCCGAAGGCGGATGCCTAACCGACTGAGCCACCCAGGCACCCCTGGAATTTTTTTTTCTAACAGATACTTCCTTTCTACCTTAGTTTATACCCAATACACCCTGGGCTTAGAACACTTGGCATTGCAATTTTGACCGTTTGCAAATGACCCCAAAGGACTAGGATAGGTGATGAATGAAGTGCATGAGTTTGACCTCTGCTCACCACCCACAGTTCAATTTACCCTTCTTATTCTCCCTCTACATTTGTATGGTATTTGAGAAGGAGTCACAACCTACTCTTATTCATGGAGGTTCCAGCTCTCTGCACAAGCCACCTTTGTTCCCATATACGACCCAGCATGGAACCTAGGAAGAACATGGAACACCAGATTTTTCAACCTTGCCACTACTGATGTCCGTTCCTGGTTATGGACTGTATTTGTCCTGCCACAATTCTTATGTTCAAGCCCTAACTCCCAAGGTGACTTTATTTGGAACTAGGGCATATCAGGAGGTAAGGAAGGTCCTAAGGGTGACATATCCTTAATTGGATAGGGCTGATGTTCTTATAAGAAAGGGAAGAGACACCAGAGATTTCTTCCTCTCTATGCACAGAGAAGTGGCCATGTGAGGATGCAGCAAGAAGGTGGCCATTTGCAAGCTAGGAAGAGAGTGTTCACCAGAAATGGAACCTGCCAGCATCTCAATAGGAGGCTTCCAGCCTCCTAAAGTTGAGAATCCAATTTGTGTCATGTAAGCCACCCAGTCTCTATTTCCTTAAAGTAGCCCAAGCAGACTATCACAGTCCGGGATGATTCTTTGCTGTGGGAGGGCTGGCTTCTGCACCGCATGACATTTAGCAGCACCTCTGGGCTCTGTTCCCCAGCAGATGCCTGTGGTATCCCCCTCCCTGCCTTCCCTTCCCAGGGTGGGACCCCAAAAGGGACTCCACACGTTGCCAAAGCAAAACCACCCCAGTTGAGGACCACTGATGGAGAGGAACTGAAGGATGTCAATTTGTTCCTAAAGGCACTGGCTCTGAGACTTTCTTCTCCACTGGGCCCGGCTGTGAGAGGGGGAAACTACCCTGGGGAGGAAGAGGCAAAGACCTTAGGCCTCAGCACACACAATCTCAGAATCCTAAGAGCGGACAAAAAGACACTCTGGAGGGATGGGGGGGCTGGGTGATAGACACTGGGGAGGGTATGTGCTCTGGTAAGCACTGTGAATTGCGCGAGACTGTTGAGTCACAGATCTGTACCTCTGAAACAAATAATACATCATATGTTAATTTAAAAATTTTTAAAAAATAATAAAAAGAAGTTAAAAAAATAAAAAAAGAATCCACTGGTGCTTGTGCTGTTTGGCTTGGAAAACTTTGTTCTATGTTCTTGTGTAAGAACTACTTTTCACCATCAGGTAAGTAAAATAAGCATTTCTTTCATAAAAATAATAACTTTTTTTGAGTGCTTACTCAAAAATATCTTAGGACTGAAAAACACTGAAAAATGCAGGTATAATTTATTCTAAGCCTTGTTCAACTTGAAGAATTTGAAAATCTTCTCAAATGCCATTAAGCTTTGAGCAGTTCTTCAAAAAACTTCTGATATCATCTTTTTATTTTTTTTTTAAGATTTATTTATTTATTAGAGAGAGAGCACGAGTGTGAGCCGGGGCAGGGGCAGGGGGAGAGGGGGAGAGTATATCTCAAGCAGGCTCCCCACTGAGCATGGACATCACCCCTCTGCCCTGCCAGGCAGGGCTCGATCTCATAACCCTGAGATCATGACCTGAGCCAAAATCAAGAGTCATACGCTTAACCGACTGAGCCACCCAGATGACCCTGGTCTTCTTTTAAACCTTTTTTTCTTTTTTAAAGATTTTATTTATTTATTTATTTGAGAAAGAGGGAGATCACGAGCAGTGGGGAGAGGCAGAGGGAGAAGCAGACTCCCACTGAGGAGGGAGCCTGATGCAGGACTCGATCCCAGGACCCCAGGATCATGACCTGAGCCGAAGGCAGATGCTTCACCGACTGAGCCACCTAGGCGTGCTCTTCTTTTAAACCTTAAGAAGACTTGCTTGTATCGGAAAAAGTAACCTGAATTTTCTTCTCACATCTGATGACAAACTTTAATTCTATTAGTCAAAGGACATGCTCTTTAATTTTTGGTCTGTAATAACTATTTCAAAATCTGTTTCAGGATCCTTCTGCAGGAATACAATGGTGAGCAAGATAGGTTGTTGGTCTCCGACTTCACAGAGGTTTCAAGCCTGTGATTTAAAGGACATACTGTGTATGTGTGGAATCTAACAAAACAAAACAAAGAAAGAAACCAAACAGACTCTTAAATGCAGAGAGCAAACTGGTGGTGGCCAGAGGGGAGGTGGGGGGGGATTTGCGGTTGTGGAACAGAGGTGATTAAGAGATAGAAACTTTCAGTTACAAAACAAATAAGTCACAGAGGTGAAAAATGCAACATAGGGAATATGGTCAATATTGTAGTACATTATATGGTGACAGTTGGTGACTACACTTATCAGGGTGAGCCCTGAGTAATATATAGAATTGTTGAATCAGGGGCACCTGGGTGGCTCAGTCGCTGGGCGTCTGCCTTCGGCTCAGGTCATGATCTCAGGGTCCTGAGATCGAGCCCCACATCGGGCTCCCTGCTCGGCAGGAAGCCTGCTTCTCCCTCTCCCACTCCCCCTGCTTGTGTTCACTCTCTCACTGTCTCTCTCTCTCTCTGTCAAATAAATAAATAAAATCTTAAAAAAAAAAAAAAAGAATTGTTGAATCAATATGTTGTATACCCGAAACTAATAGAACATTGTATATTAATTGTACTTCAATAACACAAACAAACACATAAAGACATACTGTATAAAACTTCAGACTATAAAAGCTACTGAGCTGGAGAGGACCTCAGGACAGTGTTTTCTAAGCTTTTGGCTATGACTCATCAGTGAAAACTCCCTCAGACTTTCCTTATCAAATCTACTTTCTTAAGTTTTTTTTTTTTAATTTGACAGAGACACAGTGAGAGAGGGAACACAAGCGGAGAGAGTGGGAGAGGGAGAAGCAGGCTTCCCGCTGAGCAGGGAGCCCGATGCGGGGCTCGATCCCAGGACCCCGGGATCATGACCTGAGCTGAAGGCAGATGCTCAATGACTGAGCCCCCCAGGCGCCCCTCCAATCTACTTTCTCAACACTTTTTTTGCCAGGCGTTAATTCTATACCCCGCTATTGCTGCCTCAGTTCATGCTCTTAATGCTGAAATATTGCATAAATCTTAACTAACTGGTACCCTGATGACAGATGCTGTCTTCAGTCTATGTTTCTCACTACCTAATAGGGCACTCTAAAACTGTACAGTTACCATTCCCCTGCTTAGGGCCCTTCTGTGATTTCCCCCCTGCTCACAAAATGCTACCCTCTGTATCATGTCCTAAACTCCTTGACCACTGAAGCCCTCCTAGCCTCATCTGTCCACTCATGTGTCTCCACCCCATTTCTCCAGCACTCTCCCCAAATACACAGGCACCCACATCAACTACACTGGTCCACCGGCAGTTTCTTTAATATGCCAGAACGTTTTCATTCTCCCTTGCTCACACAATGGCCTTGCCTAGCTGAAAGGCCCATTACCCATGCCGGCCCCCCCTTTCCCTCAGTATTTATGCTTAGAACTATGAAAATTAATAAAGGGAGAGCTCACTAAGGTGGACTTGGGATGCTAGAAGGGGAGGCTGGTAGGGGGGGCCCTACCATCCAGGGTCAATTACAGGAAAATTGTCAATTATCCCTACCAGAAGAATTGCAGCAGGGAACAACCGTCAATTACGGGGCACCTGGGTGGCTCAGTCGATTAAATGACTGCCTTCGGCTCAGGTCATGATCCCAGGGTCCTGGGATCGAGCCCCGCATCGGGCTCCCTGCTCGGCGGGAAGCCTGCTTCTCCTTCTCCCACTCCCCCTGCTTGTGTTCCCTCTCTCGCTGTGTCTCTCTCTGTCAAAAAAAGAAATAAAATCTTAAAAAAGAAGAAGAAGAAGCGTTAATTACGGGCCCCACCAGGAAAGATGTAAAACATTGCATCTCCTACAAGAAATCAACCACCCCTGCAACTCAGCCAGTGAGAAACCATGATCACCCCCAAACTCTTGCTTCTCCCTAGTGGACTTCTGTTCAAAACAGTGCCTCCCAGCTAACTCCTTCTGCTCCACAATATGCCATTCCTCTCTTTTGTTAGACTTCCTATGGTTTTGCCATAGCTTGCTTATCCCGGATTGCAATTCTCTGCTCTTTCTGAATAAACCCATCATAAGTGTCGGTAACATAACCGATAGTCTCATTTTTAAGGTTAACATTACTTGGTGATCAGAAGTAGGACCCAGAGAAGACCCCCAACAATTCGGAGGCTGGTGAGCAAACAGGTACTTCCACCGACAGACCCTACTAGGCTCACTGCTTTCTCTCCAACCCTGGAGATTGAAGGTAACTTTTCTCCTGGATCTCAAGGTCCATGCCTTGTGTTCAAGATTTATTTTTAAGGCCTTGGGTTTTCTTGTTTGTTTGTTTTTACTTTGAGAATGCCTATTTGCCTTTCGGTCCAAGACCTGTTTGGAACTAGACTGTTCCAACAGAACTGTGTTGGCCTTTGCTCTGATTTCTTTTTGGAACCAGGCTGTTCTTGTTGAAACTGCTGTGTAGGGGGGGCGCCTGGGTGGCTCAGTCTTTAAGGGTCTGCCTTCGGCCCAGCTCATGATCCCAGAGTCCTGGGATCGAGCCCCGTGTCGAGCTCCCTGCTCAGCGGGAAGCCTGTTTCTCCCTCTCCCTATGCCTGCCACTCGCCCTGCTTGTGTTCCCTCTCTCGCTGTGTCTCTCTCTGTCAAATAAATAAAATCTTCAAAAAAAAAAAAAAAAAAAAAGAAACTGCTGTGTAGGAATTTTTTTCTTTGCTTTAGAGAAAAATCTCTAAGAAATGGGACTCCCCCTCTCCCCCACCGAAACTCGGGCCTGTTTAATAACTCTGGTCCTTCCACATGCACATTTATAACTAAGTGGACTGACTTAACCAAAAGTAGTTTAGAACTTCAGTGGCCATTATGGAGAACTTTTGATCTCCCCATACTTGTTTTACTCAAGATTAAATTAGAAAGCCATGGCTCCTGAAAAAAAATTTATTTTTAATTTTTTTTTAGGTCTTATTTATTTGTCAGAGAGAGAGAGAGCACAAGCAGAGGGAGAAGCAGGCTCCCCCTGAGCAAGGAGCCCGATGTGGGACTCGATCCCAGGACCCTGGGATCGTGACCTGAGCCAAAGGCAGATGCTTAACCAACTGAGCCACCCAGGCATCCCCTGAAAAAAATTTTTTAAAGAAAGAAAGAAAAAAAAGACCTGAATAGAAAGTCTATTATTATTATTATTTTATTTTAAATGGTACCGTGAGGCTTCTAATTTTGTCTCTTTGCAAAATACTATTTCTAAATTACCTGAGGCAAATCATTGAAAGAAGTCAAAATGGCTCTGAGGCCTCATTTCCCCTTCCCCACTTTCTGTATTTCTAGAAACATAGCAGCCCCCTGGTCTCAGGCTGTACCTCCAGCGCCATTTTCCTCTCTTCTCTCTGCCAAATTTACCTCTTCATCAGACTCTCCCTGCTCCCTCCTGAACCTATTAAAACCTACTTCTTTAAAGTCTTCTGAGGATCTAAATAAACCTCAATAATTGTCTTATGTTCCCTAGGTAAGATGTTGGGGTTCAGCGCCGATGGCCAAGAAAGAATTCTTGAGACGTCTTTGGTGCAAAAAGGTGATTTTATTAAAGCACAGGGACAGGAGCCTTGGGAAGAAAGAGCTGCACTGGGGTCATGAGGAGTGGCCCATTATACACTTCCAAGTTGGCAGGGGGTTAGGGAGAGCGTAAGTCTCTAAGGAATTTTGGAAGCAAAGTTTCCAGGACCTTGAAGGGGCTAGTTGGGGAAAGGTCATTTATTACTGTTTAGTAAACCCTCAGTCACGAGACCCTTCAGATGTCTATCACTGGGCCATATGCTTGGAGGATGATTGCTAACATAGATCTTGGGGGGTAGAGATAAAGGAAGTTTCCAAAGGAATTTGTATATGTTAAAGTAGACTCAGAGGATCCGGAGGGGTTGGGATAATGTTAAGCTAAGATTGCCTTTTGTCCTTAGCAAAGTGTTAACATCGAGGCAGCTGAGCACCCAGAGGAAAGTCACTCGACCTGTTTCAAGGACTTGTCAATGGGCTGAAGGAAGTAAGCACATTTAATTTTTTCTTTTGCCTTTGTTTCCCACATCACCTGGACTAAAGCCGAATCGTGAGTCATAATGAAAGAGTTTTTCAAAGTGGCTGAGGACCCTCATAAGTTTGCTGAAGAATTTTAGCCTAGTTATTCAAACTTACCCACCTGGTTTCTCAGATTTATATCTCTTAGTTCACATGCTTGTTGGTGAGGACCAGGCCAAACACTGGATGAAACTAGCCCAATGGGAACATCCTGAAGGGGACTTAGAGAAACAAACCCTTAATTTTTGGCAAGATGATAGAGCATTCACTGGAAATCTCCACCAGGCATTTATGCTAGATTGTCATAAACCTGCTGATTGGTACAAAACTCAGGCTTTCACACAAAAGCCTGACCAACCTGTTCATGTCTATTACAATCAAATCCAAGTTGTCTTTTGATTTTTTTAAGGATTTATTTATTTATTTTCGAGAGAGCACAGCCCCGGGGTCAGGGGGAGGGGAGGGCATGGCAGACTCCCCACTGAGCACAGAGTCCGAAGCAGGTCTTGATCTCACCACCCTGAGATCATGACCTGAGCCACAATCAAGAGTCGGACGCTCAACCAAATGAGCCACCCAGGTGCCCCTCCAAATTGTCTTTTAAGAATACTTTCGTCTCCCTTTAGATCTTGAATCCACCTGGTTAGTAGCATTCAACTCTTGTGTTTGTTAATGAGCTGGACCTTTTTAAAAAAAAAACCAGGATGAGATAGGAAACTGCCCATTCCAGATTTAGGTAATTTGGCAAACCAGCTCCCTTGCATCCTAGATGAGATGCCTGAAAGAAAGACTTCTAAATTTTCAACTCCGGCAAATGAAGGTTCTAAACAAAACCAAAAATACCCTAGTTTCTGTTATTATTGCAAAAAGCTGGGGCATTTTTAAAAAAATGTTACGAACTTAAGCATTCCAGCACATTCAGTCTTTTATGTCCTCCTAATTATCAGCACTGGGGCTCTTCCCGATTCTCCTTCTTCATGGGCTCAGACAAAGCACTCTCCAGATTGGGAATGAATCTTTCTGTCCTATATTTACTGGAGCTACACCCATGGTGCTCAACCCCTGTCTTGGAGTATTAAAACGGTTCAGACAGTAGGGTCTCTCATAAACCTCAGCAGGTTCCGGTCTTTGAACCAATTCCCTTTTGTCTAGGCCCTTTGAGAGACACACACCATTTTCTGCTTGGCTCTTCTGGCCCTATTCATTTATTGGGCTGAGATTTCTTAGAAAAGTATCAAGCCAGAATTTCCTTCTCCCAAAAGAGAGAGCGAAATCTAGAATTTGATAGCAGTAACCAAAATAGCCAACCAGGGGAAAGAGATGACCTTTTGTCACCTTTGCTCTGCTCTGGTTCTGATGGCACCATAGCTGAGTCTGGGGACGCTGATCATTTGTTCCTATTGGATCAGCTACCATCCTCTTTATGGGAAAAATCCTCAACTGATGGTGGCAGAATCCACAGTGCATCTCCCATCAAGATTCAAATAGATCCCTCAGAACCTCTCCCCATAACTACTCAGTGTCCTATTAGTAAAGAAGCCCTTCAAGGCATCAAGCCTATAATAGAAAGTTATATAAGGCTCAGGACCTCATGATCCCCTGCACTATTTCCTGTAATACCCCTATTTTACCTGTGAGAAAACCCAGCGGCCGAGGATGGAGGTTTGTTCAGGACCTCAAGCAATAAACACATTTTTAAAAAAATTAATTAATTTATTTGGGAGAGAGCAGGAGCAGGGGGGAAGAGCAGAGGGAGAGGGAGAAACAGACTCCCCGTTGAGCAGGGAGCCCAACTCCGGGCTCGATCCCAGGACCCTGGGATCACGACCTGAACCGAAGGCAGACGCCCAACGACTGAGCCACCCAGGCGCCTCAGGATAGCTAGTATCTTTTTGCCTTCACTTGGGAAGAATGGAAATACATCTGGCCAGTAATTCCCCAGGGTTCTCAGCCAGTCCTTCTTTTCACAAACAGTTAAAACCTGATTTGGAATGATAAAAAGTGTTCTGCAGGCTCGACTTTGTTACAACATGTTGAGGATTTGCTTCTCAACTCCCCTTCTCAAACCTCTTCACAGGAAGACAGCATCCATCTGCTAAAACTTTTGCTTTAAAGGGACACAAAGTCTCCAGGGAAAAATTTACAATTTGCTCCCATTCAGATGAGGCACTGAGGGCATAAGATCTCAGATAAAAGCTACATTTAGACCCATGAAAGCCTGTATAACTGCTTAACACTGACACATTCCATTTTGACATCCCTGTGACCATTTACGGGAAACTCCTCTAACCAATGCAGAGTTGTCCTGGTTTACTGATGGTTTTTATTTAAAGGAGAAAAATGGTGAATACCAATCTGAGGACGCTATCACAACTCCCTGGAAGTCATCCAGGTAGCGCTTTCACCTCTGGCTTCTTCAGCAATGCAGGATGAGTTAATGTGCCTTTACTCAGGCTCGTACTGTAGCCAAGGGCAAAACCGCAGCATTTATTTGGATAGCTAATATGCTCTCAGGGTAGCTCCTGACTTTGGAATAGTATGGAAACAACAAGGTGTCCTTACCTCGAATGGGATATAACAGTAAAAATGGATCCGATGTCCAAAATGTGTTAGATGCCGTACTTTGGCCAGCAGCTTTGGCTGTTCTTAAGATTCCGGGGTGTTCCAGACTCTACTCCCTGGAGGCCAAAGTAATCCACCTCACTGATATTTCCACCAAAAATGCTTCTCTCAAGGAGACCAATAGCCAAACATCTCTCAGAGTCCAAAGATGCGTTCTCTCAAATGATAATTTTGGAAAAACTGACAAGAGATATACCCAACGTTTGGCCCCAGAGAGAGAGAAACAATATTGAAAATCTAATAATTGTTGGCTTGATAAAAAGACAGAGTTCTGGTTTGGACCAAGTAACAATCTGGCTCTACCAGAAGTTCTAAAATTCCCACTAACAATTGAACATGCATTAAACCATTGGTCTGCTGACACAACAATAATGTTCATGAATCAGTATTGGTGGGGAAAGGTGAATAAGGCCACAATCAGTGACTACCTCACTTGTCTTACTTGACCAAAGTATAGCCCAGGGAAATCTGTTCACACAAATGGATTTCATACAGCTTCCCCAACTCATAGATATAAATATGTTTGAGTCATGGTTTGTCTGTTTTATCACTGGACCAAACTTTTGTCTTCTAGACAAGCCAATGCGTCTGCTGTTCGAAAACATTTTCCCTACCTTGGGGAACCCCTCTTGAACTTCATAGTGATCAGGGAACCCATTTTACTGGTTAGCTGCTTCTCTTTGGCTGGTTTTTACAACACTTTCATTGTGCAAACCGTAGGAGCTGTGGGCAGGCCATCCCAAGATGAGCCACTCTGGTGTGAAGATTATCTTTCTTTTTTTTTTTTTAATAGGCTCCACACCCAACATGGGGCTTGAACTCACAACCCTGAGATCCACACCCAACATGGGGCTTGAACTCACAACAACTGAGCCAGCCACGCACCCCAAGATTATCTTGAGCTGAAGGTACTCAAGACCCTGCGGGCTCAGAAGAAACTTTTGCCACTCCCTTAACTACATAGAAGAATATAAATTGGGGGTCTTTCCTAGTATAAGGGTTATTATGAGAGATGACTTTTATCTGCATGACCCATCTATATGGCAGGGCGGGCTTCTAATTACCAAACATCTGCTCTTCTCATTGCCCTGAGAATTGCATTCCTTTTCCCTGAAGTCCTGGACCCCTATGCCCTTCTCCTCAGTTCAGAATGACCTATATACGTCATTCTGCCTGTTTTTGGAATTTCCAGGTATACGTGGATTCTCTGTATATACAAAATTAAATCCAATTTTCTCCTGTTAATCGTCTCATGTCAGTTTGATTCTTTTTTTTTTTTTTTTTATTCATGAGAGACAGAGCGAGAGAGAAAGGCAGAGGGAGAAGCAGGCTCCCAAGGAGCAGGGAGCCCGATGCGGGACTCGATCCCAGGACCCTGAGATCACGACCCGAGCCGAAGGCAGACGCTCAACCATCTGAGCCACCCAGGTGCCCTGATTCTTAATCCAGCTAGAAGGACCCCTCTTGTTCCCAGGCAATACCATCCTCAATCCTGAGGGTTAGTCACACACACTAACAGCACTATTAAGACTCAATAGGCAAGGGGCACCTGGGTGGCTCAGTTGGTGAAGCATCTGCCTTCGGCTCAGGTCATGATCCCGGGGTCCTGGGATCGAGCCCCTCATCGAGCTCCTTGCTCAGCGGGGAGCCTGCTTCTCCCTCTCCCAGCCACTCCCCCTGCTTGTGCGCTTTCTCTCTCTTTGACAAATAAATAAATAAAATCTTAAAAAAAAAAAGGAAAGAAAGCAGCAAACCCGGACTGGACCTGCACACCTTCTGGTGATGTGAACGTGAAGATTTCCTGGTTGAAGCAGATGACATCTGGACAGACAGCTTTCCGGGGATGTCCTGACCAGCCCTGATACCTTTTTCCTCACTCTTGCTTCTCCTTGTTTCCCATGAAAAGACCATTCCCCTGTCCACATTTCTCAAATCCCTGTGAAAGGGGATAACTTTTCTTTTTATCATGGTCTTTTGGAAACAGCCTCATCATGATCCCGTGATTTCACGTGCCTTTTCCGAAGGGTTAGAAGGTTCAGGATTCATAAAAGTCCCTCTTTCATCTAAAGTACTAAGTGCTGCTAGGTTCTTATCCAAACTCATGGTCTCTGAATTTACAACTTTACAGACTGTATAATTCAATAACATTTATTTTCAAAACAGTTTTTTTTTGAGATAACAATACTTTAAAAAAGTCTTTGAAGATGTGCTGTTTCACCAAGAGTTCATCAGCTATTGCTTCAAGTTCATACCTGCACTGTATCTTCCCCAAAGCACTCCGTTAATTCTTTCCATGGGTTTTTGCAGTATCTACTATTCCACTTTCATGACTGCTTTAAGCAGGGACATCCAGGACGCATCCATGAGTCTGGGTTTGCCTTTTTAGGGAGAAACTTCTCTTCCCTAGGTCAAAATAAGTGCCAATAAATATTTTCAGGTGGCTACCTTCAGACCTAGAATCCTGGATTAGAACCAACATACAGTTTGGAATTGTGTTACCTTTTCTTTTTTTTTAAGATTTTATTTATTTATTTGACAGAGAGAGAGACAGCGAGAGAGGGAACACAAGCAAGGGGAGTGGGAGAGGGAGAAGCAGGCTTCCCGCTGAGCAGGAAGCCCGATGCGGGGCTCGATCCCAGAACCCTGGGATCATGACCTGAGCCAAAAGCAGACACTTAACTAACTGAGCCACCCAGGCATCCATGGAATTGTGTTACTTTTGATTCTGTACTTATCTGTCAATCTTTTGTAAAAACAATGTACCCCATAAGGTGATGCTGGCTCAATACTTCAAGATGATCTCCAGCACACACAACCTTGAGAAGATACAGACCTCAGAAGGGAAGTGCGTGAGACTTTTCCCTCCTTACCCTCCTTGTTACTCGAATGTGGCCTTAAGTGGTTTCCAGCTGCTATGCACTTTCCTTCCAATGTGGGACATTACAATCAGGAAAGGTCCTCCCTGGCACTGAGGGACGAAACCACTATATACAAAAAAACCTAATTCTTTTTTTTTTTTTTTTAAGATTTTTTTTTATTTACTCATTTGAGACACAGAGATACAGAGAGAGAGCATGAGCAGGGGGAGCAGCAGAGGGAGAGGGAGAAGCAGACTCCCTGCTGAGCAAGGAACCCGATGCGGGACTCGATCCCAGGACCCTGGGATCATGACCTGAGCCGAAGGCAGACGCTTAACCATCTGAGCCACCCAGGCGCCCCCCAAAAAAACCTAATTCTTGATCAATGATGCTTTCAAGGAAAGACTTTAATCAAAAGGGGGAAATGTGAATATTAATACAGGGAAACCTCACAAGGTGGAATCAGGATCCTAGAAGGGGAGGCTGGTAGGGGGAGCCCTACCACCCAGGGTCAGCTACAGAGATAATTGTTAATTACAGATCCCTACCACAAGTATCTCAACAGGAATCATTTACAGGCCCCAAAGGAGAAAGATGTACATTGCATCTTCTACAAGAAATCAACCACCCCTGCAACTCAGCAAGTGAGAAACTATCATAACCCTGAACTCTTCTCTCCAAGGGATTTTTTTTTTTTAAGATTTTATTTATTTGAGAGAGAGAGAAAACATGAGCAGGGGGAGTGGGAGAGGGAGAAGCAGGCTCTCCACTGAGCAGAGAGCCCGATGCGGGGCTTGATCCCAAGATCCTGGGATCATGACCTGAGCTGAAGGCAGACACTTAATTGACTGAGCCACCCAGGCGCCCTCCAAGGGATTTTTGTTCAAAACCCTTCCCAACAACCTCCTTCTTCTCTACAAAATAATGTTCCTCTCTTGTTTGTTGGACTCGCCTATGGTTTTGGTATTGCTTGCTGCTCCCAGATTGCAATTCTCTGCTATTCCTGCATAAGCCCCTCTTTCACTGATAAAATAACTAGAAGTTTTTATTTTTATGGTGAACAGAACAGAGCTGTAGCTCTACTTCCTTGCACTTTGTTGACCATCTGTTGCTCCACCGTTCCTTGTATGTACCTCTGTTCCAGCACCTATCACACAAATTTGATGCTGTATGTCTCTCTCCACTAGGCTGTAAGCCATTCCTTTCCCCCCCCCCCTTTTTTTTTTTGGTGAGAAGATTTATATTTAGATTTAGCCAGCTGGACTCAGTTTAGATGATTCCAATTTTGTTGGCAACATCCAAAGCATCATAGTCAGGAGCCAGCCGAACATATGCCTTCTTCTCTCCATCAGGTCTGATCAAGGTGTTGACCTTGGCCACGTCAATGTCATAGAGCTTCTTCACAGCCTGTTTGATCTGGTGCTTATTGGCCTTGACATCCACAATGAACACAAGCGTGTTGTTGTCTTCTATTTTCTTCATGGCTGACTCAGTCGTCAGGGGGAACTTGATGATGGCATAGTGATCAAGCTTGTTTCTCCTGGGGGCACTCTTTCTCGAGGATATTTGGGCTGCCTCCGCAGACGCAGTGTCTTGGGTCGTCGGAATGTAGGTGACGTTTGGCTCTTCTTTTTTTTGTGACTGTGGACGCCTTTCAGCACCGCTTTCTTGGCCTTCAAAGCCTTTGCTTTGGCTTCGGCTTTGGGAGGGGCAGGGGCTTCTTTCTTAGTCTTTGTCGCCATCTTCGTAAAAGGCCCTTTTCCCCTTTTTTTAAAAAAATTTTTTATTTATTTTTAGAGATCATGTAAGCGGGGGTGGGGGGGTGGGGAGGGTGCAGAAGGAGAGGGAGAGAGAGAATCTTAAGCAGGCGCCACGCTTAGCACAGAGCCCCATGGGGGTCTGGATCTCATGACCCTGAGATCGTGACCTGAGCTGAAATCAAGAGTTGGATGCTTAACCGGCTGCACCACCAGGCGCCCCTGTAGGCTGTTTCTAAGTGCTCTGCTCAAATGTATCCAGAGCCATGGCTCTCAGCACATAGTATATGTTCAAATGCCTCAGTCTGGAAGCCCTATCTCCTGACTTCCGGTCCCCCACACTATCCTGTATTGTGTACTGATTTGCCACCTAGTGGCCACATGACCTTGAACAAGTTGGTCCCCGTTTCTCAATTTCTTCAACCATAGAACACAGGTAATAATCAAACCTTCATAGTACTGTTGTGAAAATTAAACGTTCGTGAAAATGAAGAGGTTAGTGTGCACAGTCCTGACACAAAGAAAGCACTTAAGTGAAGCTGTTAATATTATCATAAACGTTTTACTAATAATCAGGAAACGTGTCTTAGTGTATAAAGAGCTTATGCAGACTTTGAAGAACTCTAAAAGACTTTGAAGAATCAGACTGACAGATTTAATTAAAAACAAAGATGGCGGGGCACCTGGGTGGCTCAGTCGGTTGGGCGACCAACTCTTGGTTTCAGCTCAGTTCATGATCTCAGGGTCGTGGGTTGGAGCCCAGGGCTGGGTTCTGTGCTGAGCACAGAGCTTGCTTGAGATTCTCTCTCTCTCCCTCTCCCTCTGCCCCTCGCCCTGCTCATGCTCTCTCTGTCTCAAAAACAAAAACAAAAACCCAAAATAAAACAAAACAAAAAAACAAAAATAAAGACGGGGTATAAGCTTCACATAGGATCTTATATTGGGAACACCTCTCACTAGTGAGAACTTTATCCTAACGCAAATGGAAAATATGACTGTATGAAGCCTAAACTAAAAATGGACAAACAGAAAAAGAAATACTCTGGAGAATAGAATACAGTGTTTTTCTGCTGGAGAATTAACTCTTTCTTGAAGAAGCTGTAGTAAGTATAAGAGAATGTGGTTGTTCAAGTCAATAAAAGATGGCCAGTGGTGAGTCCTCCATTTACAGAGTTCTACTGAGCTCCAGAGGTTGAAGAATTGTAATTTCCTGGGCCTACATTAGAACTCCACAATTTTTAGACTCTAAAATTGCAAAGTTTTTCTGCCACTATTAACCAGTCCTATTGTTATTTTGTTTAAGTAATAGCATATTTGTCAAAGAAAAGTAGATAATATAAACTAATAGGTACTTTCTTTAAAACACCTATTTTATACATTCTGGTGTTAAAAAAAATAGGTGTATATTTATCTATTATATATTATGTTATGGGTTTTTTGATCTGTTATAGCTATGACCTGCAATGGTTCTCTGAAGAAGTTGGTCAGTTCAGACTAGGGATAGACTCAGATTTTAGAGAATCTATTTCATATGATGGGTGAACATTTCCAAAAGACTGGTTTTGTAAAAAAAAGATTCTAGTGGCAAGTTGATTTATTTTTATTGGCACTCTTACTCCAAGGAATCTTTGTCTTAATTTCCATGCATATTTTTTTGACAGTAGTTCAACAGAATCAAATACCTCTAAGTCCGAAAAAATACAAAGCTTGGAAGAATGTAAACAGAATTTGAGATCATAAAGATTCAATGTTTCATCATGATGTTTTCTAAAACAGTAAGGTTTTAAGAAATATTCAAGCTGATAGGTTGCTAGATGATGCTTAGTAGAGGGTCATACAATCAGAGAAATAAAAAAGGCGGAATATTTTGCCAGGGATTTTAGGTGTTGGGTTTTGTGCAAAATATATATATATACCTCTTAGAGGATCACAAGAAAGCATTGGAAGTCTAAACCCTAGAATCTTTCCAGATTTAGATGAATTTATTTAAAGTAACTAGTTCATGAGAAAATGTAAAACATGGCAATTCTCTCTATTGAAGCGAGATACACTAGGAAGTGTATTTTTAAAATATTATTTGCTTTCGGAGTGCCTGGGTAGTTCAGTAGGTTGAGCGACTGACTATTGATTTTGGCTCAGGTCAGGATTCTCGGGGTCATGAGATTGAGCTGCGCATGGGGCTCCCTGCTCACTGGGGAGTCTGCTTGAGATTATCTCTCTCTCTACTCCCCACCCCCACTCACACGCACTCTCTCTCTAAAATAAATAAATCTTTAAATAAATAAATAAAATATTATTTGCTTCCATTAAGGCCAGGAATATAAAATTATAATAAATTCTGATTTGGTATAAATATATTTAAACTTAATGGTTCTTTTTAAATCATTTTTCAATATATTTCAACTACTTTAACATTATAGGGAAAATTAGCCACTAAAAAAATTATTTTTATTTATTTATTTACTTATTTATTTAAAAATATTTTATTTATTTGACAGAGAGAGACATAGCGAGATAGGGATCACAAGCAGGGCGAGTGGGAGAGGGAGAAGCAGGCTCCCTGCTGAGCAGAGAGCCCAACCCCGGGCTTGATCCCAGGACCCTGGGATCATGACCTGAGCTGAAGGCAGATGCTTAACGACTGAGCCACCCAGGCGCCCCCAAAATTATTAAAAGTATAAATGTACTGGCACACATTTTCTCTTTCACCTCTGGAACCAGTATGACTTGGCTGGGCACTGGCTGGCTGCCCTACTTATTTTCCTGCAAAGAAGGTCCTGATATTTTGTATCTTTATTTCCTGACTGAATGCGTTTCCCTTCTTTAAATTTGTAGCAGAATTTCTCCCCAGAAACAGGCCCAAGTCTGTAAAAAATAGTATAGCATGCTAAGATTGGGAACCATCAGATCTCTCAACAAATGGGTACTTTGTAAAATAAATCTTGCTAATGTCATATGAGAAAGGAAAAAATAAAACTCATCATGAGAAGCATCCAGAATATGAAAGGTTCAGTGCTTACTGAGAAATAAGTCTCCAGAGAAGGCTTGGAAAAGCTGTCAGAACACAAGAAAATTTTTTACTCAGTATTTACAGGGGGCCAAGTTGGTTCTGAAGTCAGGAGCCTGACGCATATCCTAATACGACAAAGGAAACACAAAGATTTTGTGCTGCCTCAAATGCATATAAGCATTAATAATTAATATTAATTACTTTATTACTCAACAATAATTGAGTTAATAATTACTCAACAATAAATTTTTTTCTCTTTTATATTGGTATAGAGGGGTGTTTTTTTTTTGAAGATTTCATTTATTTGAGAGAGAGAGAGAGCGTGCGTGTGCACGCACAGTTGAGTTGGGGGGCAGAAAGAAGGGGAGAAGCAGACCCCCTGCTGAGCAGGGAGCCCAACGTGGGGCCTGATCCCAGGACCCTGGGATCATGACCTGAACCGAAGGCAGACGCTTAACGACTGAACCACCCAGGCGCCCCATCTTGTGCTTATTTTGATATTATTGAAACAGTTAAAAACATAAATATACAAAAAATAAATGTATTTCATAAAAAAATTTCTCAAGTTTCTTACTACTAAGAAACTGAGCTTCCGGGCGCCTGGGTGGCTCAGTTGGTTAAGCGACTGCCTTCGGCTCAGGTCATGATCCTGGAGTCCTGGGATCGAGTCCCGCATCGGGCTCCCTGCTCAGCGAGGAGCCTGCTTCTCTCTCTGACCCTCCCCCCCTCTCACGTGCTCTCTCTCTCTCATTCTCTCTGTCTCAAATAAATAAATAAAATCTAAAAAAAAAAAAAAAAAGAAACAAAATATATTGGGGAAAAAAAAAAAGAAACTGAGCTTCCTTGAAGGTGTACCATGTTTACATACACGGAGGCTTTGTGTAAAGTCTGGCACATTGTCTAATCTTTCTGAATAGCCCACAAGGAATGAACTTTTATCTTTTTTTTTTTTTTTTAAGATTTTTTATTTATTTGAGAGAGAGAGAATGAGAGACAGAGAGCATGAGAAGGAGGAAGGTCAGAGGGAGAAGCAGACTCCCCGCCGAGCAGGGAGCCCGATGTGGGACTCGATCCCGGGACTCCAGGATCATGACCTGAGCCAAAGGCAGTCGCTTAACCAACTGAGCCACCCAGGCGCCCTATCTTTTTTTTTTTTAAAGATTTTATTTATTTATTTGCGAGAGAGACAATGAGAGACAGAGAGCATGAGAGGGAGGAGGGTCAGAGGGAGAAGCAGACGCCCCGCTGAGCAGGGAGCCCCATGCAGGACTCGATCCTGGGACTCCAGGATCATGACCTGAGCCGAAGGCAGTCGCTTAACCGACTGAGCCACCCAGGCGCCCCAGGAATGAACTTTTATCTTGGTATTTAACCCAAAACTTTTGCTTTCTCATTTATATTCTATTCCATAATACATGTTTATTTTCATAACATTTATATTTTAAACTACTTGCTATCACGGAAAATTGACACTGTAGGAAGATGGACCATGTTTTATCTTGTGACATCAGGTATCTTAGCATATTTCTGGGGTACCTAGGTTCAGAAGTAGTCTTATTCATTGGCCAAGAAGTTCATGAAACATTGCTTCCTAAACTTTTAGAAACACTTAAAAGGAAAACAACAACAACAACACACTTATAAAGAGAAGGAGCTGCTTTGTAATGCATTTTATTTATTTTTTCTTTTTAAAGATTTTATTTATTTGACAGAGTGAGCGAGGGAGAGAGCATGAGCCGGGGGAGCAATGGAGGGAGATGGGGGAAGAGGGGAAGCAGACGCCTCCCTGAGCAGGGAGCCCGATGCGGGGCTTGATCCAGGGACCTGTGATCATGACCTGAGCTGAAGGCTGCCGTCCAACGACTGAGCCACCCAGGGGCCCCTGTAATGCATTTTAAAAAACAAAGTACAGATGATATGAAAATGTTGGGGTTCAGAGCGAATGGACAAGAAAGAATTCTTGAGACATCTCTGGTGCAAATAGGTGATTTTATTAAAGCACAGTGACAGGACCCGTGGGCGGAAAGAGCTGTACTTGGGTTGTGAAGGGTGGCTGATTATATACTTTCAAGTTGGCAGGCGGTTAGGGGGTGCGTGACTCTCTAAGGAATTTTGGAAGCAAGGTTTCCAGACCTTGAGGGGGCTAGCTATTGTTAGGAAAGGTCATTTTTTTTACTGTCTAATAAAACCTTAGTCATGAGACCTTTCAGATATCTATCAGTGGGTCATATGTTTAGAGGATGATTGTTAACATGTCCTGGAGGGTAGAGATAAGGGAAGTTTCCGAAGGAATCTGTATATGTTAAAGAAGACTTACAAGATTCTGGAGGTGTGGGTAATGTTAAGCTAAGATTGCCTTTTGCCCTTAGCAAAGTAGTAACACCTAGGCAGTTGAGTTCCTAGAGGAAGGTCACTCGACCTGTTTCAAGGACTTGTCAATGGGGTGTAAGTTATAAGGAAATTTAATTTTTTTCTTTTGCCTTTGTTCCCCACATCCAGATACTGGGTGCGTGGAGGTAGAGAGGAACTGTCTATATTATCGTCACAATTTTTCAACAAATCTAATCTATTATAAAATTTAAAGGTTATTATTTTTATTTAAAAATTTATTTTAGAGAGTGAGAGATACAGCATGAGCAGGGGGAGAGGCAGAGGGAGAGAGAGAATCCTCAAGCAGACCCCCCCGCTGAGCGGGGAGCCCCAAGCGGGGCTTGATCCCACGACCCTGAGATCACAACCCAAGCTGAAATTAAGAGTCAGAGGCTCAACCAACCGAGCCAGGAAGGCGCCCCTAAAATTAACAGGGTATTAAAAAAAGAATCTACCTTTAATAACTGAGGGACCAAAGATCAGTGCCTGGCTATAATTTATTATTAACAGAACCTGAATGACACCAGGTCTTATACTAGTTTTAATATTCTCAAGCCCAATTCTCAAGCTTCAAGTGAGTGTAGTTTTTGGGCTCCAGTCGATTTTCCTATTTTTGACAGTTTTCCTACCTCACTCTGTTGGGAATAGTGGGAAAAGCAGTTATTTAAGTCTTCCCAAGGGTCTGGGCAAGCAGGTGATCAAAAGTGGTTAACAATAAAGGGGAAGAGGGGCGCCTGGGTGGCTCAGTTGGTTAAGCGACTGCCTTCGGCTCAGGTCATGATCCTGGAGTCCCGGGATCGAGTCCCGCATCGGGCTCCCTGCTCGGCGGGGAGTCTGCTTCTCCCTCTGACCCTCCTCCCTCTCATGCTCTCTGTCTCTCATTCTCTCTCTCAAATAAATAAATAAAATCTTAAAAAAAAAAAATAAAGGGGAAGAAAACGTAGAGTGGAAAAAGCCTCAAGTATCCACTCCTAGGTCTGGTATTAACTAGCACAAGAATGTAACTACCCGCAAACGGGTAAAACGGGAATTAAGATTTAACAATAGCTCCTAATCTGGCCACTTCACCAAAACAAAGGAAAAGCATTAACTTCTCGGAAGGCGGCAGCACCTGGGGGCCACGCTGTACGCTCAGCTGGGGGAAGAGTTACTAAAAAGAGGGTCCTTGCCCTTTGCTCTCCTTCAGGAACTCACCCTTGCTCTCGAAGGCGGGGGGCGCGGGGGAAAATAATGCAGCTACTTCACTCCCCAAAAGCGGGGACTCAGACCACAGCCCCCAGAACTAAACTGCCCACACTCCCGCCCTGACGCGGCCAGACTCCGCGCTGGGAGTGACGCAGTGGGCGGAAACACTGCGCATGCGGGGAGGACGTGCGCGCGGGCGACGGGGCGTACTGCGCACGCGCCCCTCTCTTGGGAGGTGCCCCCCCTTTTTTTCTCACGGCAGGTGAGAGGCGGCCTCCCTCTCCTGCCCTCTCGCCCCGCCCCCTGAGCGGCGCACCCGGGGGGCGTTGCCATGGCGACCCAGGGGCCACAGCGGGCTTGCGGCGGCACAACCCGCCGGGTCTCTGAGGACCTGGCGGCGGCGACAACAGTGGCAAGTCATGGAGCTTTCAAGAAACAACGTCGAGGAGACCAGGAAGCACACGGGCCTCGGGCGTTGCAGGCATTTCTTCTGGCTGGGCGTGGTCTTCGACACGGTGGGCGCGACCCTGCTGTTCACCGGGGTCTTCGCGCACCTGCTCTTCTACGACCTGCTGCTCTACCTGGGTTCCATCATCATCTTCTTCAGCCTGCTGTGGTGGGTCTTCTGGTACACCGGCAACATCGAACTGACTGCTGAAGAGTCCTTGAAGAGGCCCTTCTACGTGCCCTCCTCCACCATGGTGGGCGCGCTGAGCCACCGCCTCTCTCTCACCTTCTGCAACGTGTCCACCACCTTGACGCGGATCCGGCGGCGCTGCGGTCCCAGGACGTTCCTTCTTAGACCTGCTTCTCTGAGTATGACCGTCACGGCCCGGCTCGAAAACCAGCTGGAGAAGCAAGACCAGGGCAAAGACGGACCGACAGGTGCCCAGGAGAGCGGCGATGTGCAAAACCTGGGCAGCGAGGACCTGGGCCCCAAACCTGAAGCTGTCCGAAGTTCAGAGGGAGTTCGCTCCCCGGGCTCTGATGCTGGGTCTCGGGGCCCCGAGGCTGGGCTGCCAGGGCTTGTGAAAGGATCGTTTTTCACTCCAGACCAGCCTCGGCCCCCAGCCGTCCTCCCCTCCAGGAGCCTGCCTGTAATCCCCTCGGCCTCTACTCGCCAGCCTCTAGCCGTGCGTGTTTCCAGGAGCCAGCCGGCGGGCACTCTTGCCTCTGCAGGCCAGCCGGCTGCCTCCTTGGCTTCTGCCAGTCAGCCTGCGCTCAGTGTTGCCTCTGAGAGTCAGCCTGCTGTCCCCTTGTCCTCGTTGACTCAACCTACAGTCATCCTTGCCTGTCAGAGCCAGACTGCAGTGTCTGTGGCCCCTCAGAGCCAGCCCTTTGTGCCTGTGGCCTCTCAGGACCACTCCTTGGTTTCCGCGGCCTCTCAGGTCCATCCCCTGGTGCCATTGCCTGCACAGAGCAACCTCCAGGTCCTTTTGGCCTCTCAAAGCCACCCCCTGGTGTCTGTGGCCGCACAGAGCCAACTCCAAGTCCCACTAGCCTCACAGAACCAGCTGGAGAATCTTCCTCCTGCTTCTCAAACTCCATCTTCAGGTGCTCAGGCTTCCCAATTGGAGGCCCTGGCCACCCCTGTGTCTCTGATCCAGCTCCAATCGTCCCAGTCTTTTCAGACCCAACCTGTGGACCTGCGGGTCTCCCTTGCTGTCCATGACTTTCAGGCCTTCTATCACAGCCGACAGACCCTCCAGAGCATCTCTTTGGTCCAAGAGATTGCTCCCAGCCCGTCCGCGCCTGTCCAGGAGTTTCAGAGGAAGCCACTTGCACAGGCTTTTGAGACTCCGCCACCAGCGGGCCAGGAGCTAAGTCAGGAATTCCCTGCCACCGCGTCCCCACCCCATGAGTCCCAGGCTCCAGCTTCTCAGGCCCAGCGATCAGTGTCTCCTGAGAGCACACCCACCCCTGCCTCAGAGAAGACAAGTCGCCCTCCCTAGTACAGAACTGGACCCGTGCCATCGGAGTGGCCGCTCAGGCCTTTGCCAAGTAAGTGCCTTTGGCAGAATCTTCACCTGCAGTATTCCTTAATTGTTTCCGGTCTGTGTTCTGATCGTTTCCTCGATCTCTTCTGCTGGAAAAAATTGAGTGGAGGTGAAGTGGCCTGTTCCTTCCAGGATTAGATCTTTTACACTTTGTAGGTTTTTGAAACCTAGTGCGGTTAAGCTTTTACCTACTCAGTCAGAGAGTGAGATCGCTTTCTTTTATTTAGGCCTTGTAAGGGCAGGGTGGTAATTAAGACATTCCATGAGGAGCTGTGGGTGGAGTGGGGAAAGGGACTCTGCACTGTTTCTGAAACAAGAGGATTTTAGGTGGTACAGGGACACAGCATTAAACAGCAGTGAGCCCTTCAGTGGGAAAGTTTTCCCCTCTCAATTCTTTAGCGGTCTTTTTTGGTTCTATCAAGGAGAGCGTCCTTAGTGTGGAGTTAGTGATCTCCAACATTTTGGTAGGCAACGACCGCACCCAGCTAGGATTTAATACCATGTGTGTTCAAGTTATTTCAATGGATAACTTCTATTTATGCCAAGTAATACTGGTTTTTCTATTTAAAATAGTGATAGTTGCTTTTCAAAGTACATTTAAGTGAAAAAACACTTAAACAACTCAAAGGTAAAAAATTAAGTGTGTAGTGAAACTTGAATGATCCTGAAGTTTGGAAACCATTTGGCTATTAGTAAATCCCACAAGTTTTCTACTAAATCGCAAGAGCCTTTGTGCTCACCTGTTTAATGAACTCTGTGGTTGAGGCTAACTGAGGACCAATTCCACTTAACTCCCCAACCCCTTGTCAGTTAGAAAGGTAGAAAAGGTCATGTGAAGGTCACAATTGGTGAGCCTGCTTCTGAGTGGGTTAAGTGCTGTTATAAAGATATTCACTGCCGAGTATCCATTTCCTGGTCTTTCTCTTTAATCCTATTCCATAAATTACCTACTCTGGAGGGGGAGAATAGGGCAGAGCAATATTTGGAGGTTACGTTAATGCTCCTTTTTACAATGCTACCAACATATTATCCAAGAAGATTATTTCATATTGGTTGGTTTCATTTCCAGGGTGGGGTACAATTAATTGAATATTCGGTGGAAGTCAAACTCTTAATTTCCTTATAATTTTCTCCAGTTCTCCTTCAAGAGAATGTATATAGGTGTATACACACATATATTCTATAGGTAATCTATAGGGCAGAGCATTCTGGCTCTTTTGGTTTTGTACAGTTTGGACACTTGGATTTAAAATGAAATAAATTCAATGACTTATGTTTATTTCTATTAAAAAAAAACAAAAAAGGAAAACACTAACAAACCACAGTAATTACAGAAGGAAAAGATTTAGTATGACAGAGAGAGATCATTAATTTTTTCCCATTAGTCATATCCTTTCAGGTAATTTATATGGTTGAATTAAGTCTCAATTTAATTCTTGAAGGGGGCTTGAGCATTTAACTAACGGCCAGGAATATTGGTAAACACATATAAAGATGAAAGGATGCAGGCCTTGCCAGCAGAACGCTTTGTTATAGACTTTGTTCTTTAACTCAAAGGAACAACTCTAAAGAGAAGAAAATTTTAGGCAAGAAAGGAAAAGGGGTTTACCTAATAATTCTTAGTGGAAGAATTTTTTTTTTTTGACAGAGCCATGCAGTACCCTTCAAATAATTATTTCACTGACCAGACATTTACTGAATTTCTAGTAAGGGCTAGGTATTAATTACATGAGGCACTGGGGATTCAGAGTTAAGATGCCTTTGTTCTCCATATGCTCACTGTTTATCAAGGGCGACAGGTATAGAAATAACTAACACAGGGGCGCCTGGGTGGCTCAGTCAATTGAAGGTCAGACTCTTGATTTCGGCTCAGGTCATGATCTCAGGGTTGTGAGATCGAGCCCTGCATCGGCATCAGGCTCTGAGCTGGGTGTGGAGGCTGCTTAGGATTCTTTCTCTTTCTCCCTCTTACCCAACCCCCCCCTTTAAAAAAAATAAATAATAAAAATTGAAAAAAAAGAAAAGAAATAACTAATGCAGTGTGCTATAACAGAAGTCTAGTCCAAGTCTTTCAGAATACAGGTGTGCGCTACATGAGGATTTTTGAGTTTGATCCCGAAGTAAGCGTTCATTGGGTGAGGGAGATGGGAAGAACATTCCATGCAAAGGGAAAAGCATCAGCAAAAAGGGAGAGGCATAATTAATAGTCCATGACTTGCTGGGGACATATCTGGGAAAGGATAATCTGATGCTATAGATGTGGGTGCTTGGGACTCAGTTTGAGGTGGGGGGGGAAGCTTTGAAGGCTTGTGAAGGCTAAAGTGTACCTGTGGTCTCTGTTGTAAGGAAATGGCAATAGGCCAATAATTAGATAATAATTGCTAAGATCTCTCCCAGTTAGTTCTGAGCTGAAAGTGGACCTCTTAGATATTAGCAGCAGTTTCTAACCCAAGTGGGGGCTCCATGGGCATTTATCTTGGAAGACACTTTCAGGTGTTTATTTACTTGTACATAACTTTTTTTTTTTTTTTTTTGCTACAAAGATGAAATCAGGTAGAATGAATAGCAAATGTTATGATACATTTCTCTATATTGACCATAAGATACATACTTACCTAAAAGAAGAATTGACACATTTTTTCTACGAAGGCCCGGATAGTAAGTATTTTAGGCTCTGTGGGCCAAGAAGCAAAATCAAGGATATTATGTGGCTGTTTATATAAGAAGAGAGAAAGCTGCCCCCAGTTTGCCTGGGTATGCGGTATAGTTACTTTGATTCCAGATACATCATCTGGAGACATTCACCTAAGAGCAGCTGGCCTGAGACCGAGGGTCAGGGGTGTGGCCCGGCCTGTCAGGCCTACAGCCAACCCGATGTTTCTCTCTGCCCCAGTGACACCCAGACCTAAGGGTGCAATTCTCTGCTCTCAGAGAACCTGGCTCTGCCATCTCGGTCCGCTGGTCTGAGGACAGGTGATTTCCAGAGTCTCTGACTCCCAGATTGAGATTCCACTGGGTGGTGCCTGGCATTTGCCAGTAGTGGAGTCTAGAATGTGTAGGTGGTGGCGTTCAGGCCCTGAGCAGACCACTGGCCAGACAGGCAGGCATTGGGAGCTCTGGGGTGAGCAGGGGTAGAAGTGGATGCCCAGGTCGGTCTTTGAAGCTCACAGTGCTAGGCCGCAGCAACACAAAAACGCAGAGTGCGGAGGGGTGCTCCTGGTATCTGGTGGGTAGAGGCCAGAGGGGCCGCACACATCACTCAGTGCACTGGCCAGGCCCTCACAACACAGACTCATCCCACACAAGGAACCCTGATCCAGAATAATTAAAAAAAAAAATTGCTCCATAGATCATGAGGTATTTAAGGAAAAAATCTTTTTATCCTCAGAGGACTTGTTAGCTCTTAAATAGTCATGGTATCTTCTAGACCAGGAAGATTTTATTCACCTTTGTTTTATTTATCTTTATATTCCCATTTTGAATCAACACAGACGTGGGGGCATCTATTAATAACATATAGGTAACATTTATTGGGTGTTTATAACATGCTGCACACTGTACTAAGTAATTTACAGACATTGTCTGGTTTCTCGTAACAATCGGGTAGGCACCATTATTATGTCCACTTCAAGGAGGGTAGACTTGACAGTGATTGAAAGGTTAAGGCATTTCCTCAATGTCAAACAAATAGCGGAGCTGGAATTAATGTACAGTTGATGTATAATTTGTTACAAGGTGGAGATTATAAGCTTTCCTTCCAAGTTAAAGTTATTAATGAGCCTTTTTTTGGTAAGCCTGTCAATTGTCACTTAAGCTGCAATACTCCCGGATCAGTCTATGGGTGACTTTTCTGTTGAAAGCTTTACTCCCAGGGGCACCTGGGTGGCTCAGTCAGTTGAGCGTCTGCCTTCGGCTCGGGTCATGATCTCGGGGTCCTGGGATCGAGGCCTGGGTCGTGCTTGCTGCTCCGAGAGGAGCCTGCTTCTCCCTCTCCCTCTCCCCCTCGCCCTGCCTGTGCGCGTGTACTCTCACGTACTTTCTCTCCTGAATAAATAAATAAGATCTTTTAAAAAAAAATGAAAGCTTTACTCACAGAAGGAGAATGAAAATCAAGAATTGTTCCACTCTGTTTATAAATACCATCTGAAATAAAAATTGCTTTTTTTCTTTCCAGAATCACCAAAGTTTCTACAGATTTAAGTGCCAACTTTATAAAAGCACAAATACTTACCTTAACCTCGTTTTGGAAACTTCCGTGTGAGTCCTGACCTATCTCAGACCAGCAGGCCTGCTACATGGCCTCTGCCAAGTATGTGTGTGTCAGTGTTGGGGGAGACTTTTCCAGCTTCAGATCATAAAGTTCTTTATTGCCAGAATTTTAAGCCATAATAAACTATGCTACTCCAAATGAACTTTGTTTTAAAATAAGTTGGTTTTTAAAATAGACATCTTGCGAAGGCATTCCAGCATTCCAAGTGGAAAATAATGCCTCGCATACTCTGCGTGAAGATGAAAGTAAGTACACTTCCCACAGAAATGGACATTGGAAAATGTAAGTCTGTGTTTTTAAGGGTACTTTGTGACCTCACTAAGGAATAGAAAAGTTAGCACAATCAGTGCATTGTAACATGCCACAATTTATATGTTCATTTTGATTTAAGGAACATGAATTTCCCATTTTCCCAAGGACTTTAAAATCTGATTGGATTGTATATTTTAATGATAAATAAAATTCATTTGAGAGTATCCTCTCATTTTTTCTTTATATCAGTAGATTATTTATGCAAGAATGCTCTAATGGATAGTTTTCTTTTGAAATTTTCAGTTATAGGCAAAAGCATGTTTTTAGATGGTATGATAGTTTTGATCAAAACTTCAAAAAATTTAAGCTGTTTTTATATTTCTTCCCCTTTTCCATCGTATACTTCCATAATTCTATATCTAATTTTAAAAAATTAACTCAGACTGGAAGACTATGCATTGCAGATACTTAGAACAAAGAATGATAGGACATTAAACTAAGTGAAGTAAGCCAGTCACAGCAAGACAAATACTGTATGGTTCCACTTACATGACATTTCTCATATGACAGAATTGAATTCAGGAGACAGAAAGTAGAGGGGCTGGGGCTGAGGGTGGGGGCGGGAAGTTGTATGATGGGTATAGCCTTTCAGATGAAAGGAGTTCCGCGATTGGTTGCACAACAGTGTGAATGTACTTAACACTAGCAAACAGTACATTTAAGAATGGTTAAGATGATGGGGTACCTGGGTGGCTCAGTTGGTTAAGTGTCTGCCTTCGGCTCAGGTCATGATCCTGGGGTCCTGGGGTGGAGCCCCGCATCGGGCTCCCTGCTCAGCAGGGAGTCTGCTTCTCCCTCTCCCTCTGCCCCTAACCCCTGCTCATACTTGCGCGCTCTCTCTCTCTCGCTCGCACTCTCTGTCTAAAATAAATGAATAAATTGGGGCATCTGGGTGGCTCAGTCATTAAGCGTCTGCCTTCGGCTCGGGTCACGATCCCAGGGTCCTGGGATCGAGCCCCTCATTGGGCTCCCTGCTCAGTGGGAAGCCTGCTTCTCCCTCTCCCACTTCCCCCTGCTTGTGTTCCCTCTCTCTGTCAAATAAATAAGTAAAATCTTAAAAAAATTTAAAAAAATGAGACTCTTTGAACTCCATTATTTGTTTTTCACTGTCACTATCTCGCCAGCCATTTTCACAACTGAGTTCTGACTATGTCAGGGAAATTATATCAAATGCTTGGAATAGTGTTGAATAGAATACACATTGATTTTTTTTCTTCCATTCTCCTTTTTTTTTTCCGGAATACTCATTGATTCTGATTCTTACTCAGAATGATGTCAAGTTTGACCTTAATTACTAGAAGAATAAAACTAAGTCCAAAATACTTCAGCGTATTTTATATGTTTTGTGGGAGAAACAAAAGAGAGGATTCCAGCCTTCAAGGAGTTACAAACGTGTAAAACCAGATTTAACTTGCATATTATGAACTTTAGAGAAACTTAAAAAGAAGGCAAAAAAGGGAAGGTACAGAACAAGATTGATAGTGTCCTAGTTTTTACAAACACACATACACACACACACACACACAAGCATGTACATGTGCGGGGTTTTGCACACTCTGAATAGGAATACCACACACCAGACACTAATAACGGAGATTGTTTCTGGGCAAGGGCCAGGGAGGACTGCAGGGTCAGGGGTTGGAGGAATACTTACTTTTCAACATACAGCCTTTAGTACTGTTTAGTACAATTTTACTTATTCTTTTTTAAAGATTTGAGAGAGAGAGCATGCGCAAACATGCACATGCATGAGGTGGGGGAGGGGCAAAGGGAGAGGGAGAGAATCTCAAGCAGACTCCCTGCTGAGGGGGGAGCATGATGTGGGGCTTGATCTCCTAACCCTGAGATCATGACCTGAGCAGAAATCAAGAGTCAGACCCTTAATGGACTGAGTCACCCAGGTGCCCCTCACTTTTTCTTTTTTAATCATGTCCTTAAAAATTAAAATGTTCTGGTGGCGAGGGAACAGTGAAGTAAAATGCCTCGTTATTCTTTCTGAACTCAAGTTCAAACCACTAAGATGATATATTTTTTAAAGGAGGCTATTAACAATGCAGTAAAATGCTAATTATACAGATTTGTTGGAAAGAGGACTCAAACTGAGGGCTGTCAGATTTTAGCCCAGACTCTGCCACGAACTACCTACAAGATCTTTTTTTTTTAAAAGATTTTATTTACTTATTTGACACAGAGAGAGAGACAGCGAGAGAGGGAACACAAGCAGGGGCAGAGGGAGAGGGAGAAGCAGGCTTCCTGCGGAGCAGGGAGCCCGATTCGGGGCTCGATCCCAGGACTCTGGGATCATGACCCGAGCGGAAGGCAGACGCTCAACGACTGAGCCACCCAGGTGTCTTGGCCTTTGGGATTCTTAAAGTCAATGGTCAATCATTAGTCCCTAGATTAGATTGGTCCCTATCTATTTATTAGGTCCAAATTTTGTATTACTTAAAAACATTCATTCGATTAGAAACAACCAAAATGTCCATGAGTAGGAAACAAATTAATTATGATATATCCATTAAATGGAATACTGTGTTCATAAAAAGAACAAGAAAGGTCTTTAACTCCCCAAAATGGAAGGATCTTCAAGATATATGATAAGTAAAAAAAAGCAATGTGCTGAAAAGTATGTAAAGAAACACTGGAATATGGGCGCCTGGGTGGCTCAGTCATTAAGCGTCTGCCTTTGGCTCAGGTTATGATCCCAGGGTCCTGGGAATGAACCCCTCATCGAGCCCCGCATTGGGCTCCCTGCTCCATGGGAAGCCTGCTTCTCCCTCTTCTACTCCCCCTGCTTGTGTTCCCTCTCTTGCTCTGTCTCTGTCAAATAAATAAATAAATCTTTAAAAAAAAAAGAAACACTGGAATATGTAAGCACTTTATATATATATGAATATATATAAATGAATATATAGAATATTTGAATGAAAGGATTTACAAGAAACTAATAACATTTTTTAAAGAGAGAGAGCATGAGGGGGTGGGGGTGGGGGAGGACCAGAGAGGAAGACAGAGAACCTTAAGCAGGCTCCATGCCCAGCATGGAGTTCTATGGAAGCATGATCTCACGACCCTGATATCATGACCTGAGCCGAAATCAAGTCAGATGTTCAACTGACTGAGCCACTCAGGTGCCCCTCAAAACTAATATTTTTTTTTTTTAAGATTTTATTTATTTGCGAGAGAGAGAATGAGAGACAGAGAGCATGAGAGGGAGGAGGGTCAGAGGGAGAAGCAGACTCCCTGCTCAGCAGGGAGCCCGATGCGGGACTCGATCCCGGGACTCCAGGATCATGACCTGAGCCGAAGGCAGTCGCTTAACCAACTGAGTCACCCAGGCGCCCTCAAAACTAATATTTTTAATGTCTATCAGTAACACTGAGGGATATAGGGAAACTTCACCATATGCCATTTTATGCTTTTTGAATTTTGTAATAGGGAAATATTTTACCTAGTTAAAGATTTAAATTTTAAAAATCTGTTCATCCTATAAGAACATTTCTATTTTAAAAAATTTTTTAAAGATTTATTCATTTTTAATTTTTCTTTTAAGATTTTATTTATTTATTTATTTGACAGAGAGAGACACAAAGTAATCAGGCATTGGCTGCAGTTTTCAAAATAGAAAGTTTAAAAAGCCATGAGAAACAAACTATACTCTAAGTCATAAGATGCAAAATATATAAGATATCACTGCTGGGCAATTTATGAATTATTTCTTCTCTCCAACAATGAATCTTCTGTCTCACAGGTCAGTTTTCACCTGGTTGCAACTATATCAAGTATCTCAATATATTCCATATTTACGGGAAAATAAGTGGGCAAATACTACTGTCATTTACTAAGAACCAACCCTGTTCTGCTCACTGTGCCATACTTTGTGGTCTGTGCTTTATGTGCTCCAATCCATCCTTACACTAGTTCTAAAATAGCTCAAAAAAATAGTTATCCCCTGGGTGCCTGGGTGGCTCAGTTGGTTAAGTGTCTGCCTTTGGCTCAGGTCATGATTCTAGGACCCTGGGATTGAGCCCCACATCAGGCTCTCTGTTCAATGGGGAGTCTGCTCCTTCCTTTGCCTGCCACTCCCCCTGCTTGTGCTCTCTCACTCTTTCTCTCAAATAAATAAATAAAATCTTCAAAAAAATAGTTATCCCCGGGCGCCTGGGTGGCTCAGTTGGTTGAGCGACTGCCTTCGGCTCAGGTCATGATCCTGGAGTCCCTGGATCGAGTCCCGCATCGGGCTCCCTGCTCGGCGAGGAGCCTGCTTCTCCCTCTAACCCTCCCCCGTCTCATGTACTCTCTCTCTCTCTCATTCTCGCTCTCTCAAATAAATAAATAAATCTTTAAAAAAAACCAGTTATCCCCATTTTATAGATAAGGCAACTGGAATTCTGAGAACATAAATCAGTTGCCCAAAGTAATAGAGTAAACAACAAAGCTGAAATTTTAATCCTGCGCTATGTGACTGTGGGTTCTACTAACTGGTAAAATTTAACAAAGCCAATGAGACAATTTCAAATATAAAAACATTTAGATTTTTTTTTTAAGATTTTATTTATTTATTTGACAGAGACAGAGACAGCAAGAGCAGGAACACAAGCAGGGGGAGTGGGAGAGGGAGAATCAGGCTTCCCGCTGAGCAGGGAGCCTGATGCGGGACTCGATCCCAGGACTCTGGGATCATGACCTGAGCCGAAGGCAGCCGCTTAACGACTGAGCCACCCAGGCGCCCAATATAAAAACATTTAAAAATTAATCTTGTTGGGGCGCCTGGGTGGCTCAGTTGGTTAAGCGACTGCCTTCGGCTCAGGTCATGATCCCGGAGTCCCGGGATCGAGTCCCGCATCGGGCTCCCTGCTCGGCGGGGAGTCTGCTTCTCCCTCTGACCTTCCTCCCTCTCATGCTCTCTGTCTCTCATTCTCTCTCTCAAATAAATAAATAAAATCTTAAAAAAAAAAACCACATGATTCAGGAGACTATACAAACATATTCACAGCAATATGTGGGGGTTTGGGGAGGAAAAAATAATCTAAATGTTGGTGATAGGAAAATGGATATATAAATCATGGCATATTCATATAACGGAATGCTACATGGCAGAGAAACACAACAGGGATGGATCGAAATCAGCAGAAGTATAATGCAGCATGGAAATAATTTTATCATGGAAAGATAAGCAAAAGTATATAGATAGTTTAGGAATATATATGATAATTACATAAAGAAAAGTTGAAATGGTTTTAAAAAGTTAGGATAGTAATTAGCTTTGGGAAGAAGCAAGGAGAAGGTGGGACCTGGGAGGAACACACAGGAAGCTTCAATAGGTTAAGGTTCTGTTTCATAAATTGGGCCATACATTCACAGGTACTCATTTTATTATGTTGTATAACCTACAGTAACATATATTTTTTCGTGTATGTCAGACTTTTAAAAATGAAAGAATTGTCAAGTTGCTTGACAGTGCAGAGTTAAATTTCTACTGACAGTGTATGAGAGTGCCGATGGACGTGATTTAAATTTTTTCCCTCGGCTTTAGGGATGGAGGGGAGAAGAGTCCCACTTCAACGGCTGTCTTGGAGTATCTTTGTGAGCTAAGGCGCAATTTCCTCTGCTCTCAGGACATTGATGATACCTGCCCAACACTCCTAAGGGACTCTAAACCAACGGCGTAAGAAATGGTGGGACTGCATGGAGTTGGCAGAAAGATAGTTACTGATTTTACACTGTTGGAAAATAGAACAGTGCTTTATACTTAACAAATTGCTGTAGTTGGTTTAATGTCCTTTTGATGGTTCTATACAGTTTCCAAAGGTTGCAACATTTTCCATTCCTAGAAACGGAGGGGAGGGGCAATCCCTCTTTCCCTCTGCTTCCTTCCCACCCACCATGCCTTGGCACCTGCTTTTCCCTATGCTGGAAAACCCTTCGAGGCTTTGTTGGTCTGGCCGACTCCTGAACTTCCCCTAAAAATTTTTCAAGGGCTAACGCCTCTTACAAACTCCTCTCACCCTTTAATCATCCCAGATGACCACAGCTCGGGGGTTTCTGGGTAAATCGCTCCGTCAAACCTCAGTTTCCGCAAAGAAAAGATCAGCTTGGATGTCTGAGGACAGCGCAGAGGGTAGAGAGCCCTCTGCAGATGCTGGGTTGGAGCAGCCTAGTTCGAAAACCCCGCCCGCCCCCATCTCTGGGCAGGTTTGGTTTAATTAGAGCCTCAGTTTCTTTAGTTTGACTAAGGGATGCTTTGACTCCGTGGAACCCGGCCACCGCTTAGCACCCCCCCCGGGGGTTCCCGCGCTTCCTTCATGACCTCGGGAACTGCTCGCAGCCGCCAAAGATCTCTCCTCTCTCGGTGCCGTAGCCACTCTAAGCGCCGCACCCCGCGAGGCGGAGAAAGTCTTCCAACTGCGAGGAGGGGCCCTGACGCAGGGCGGGGAGGAGAAAGCTTTGGCGGCGCTCTAGCCCGCCAGGAATCGCTGCGCTCTCACTCGGGAATCCTGATTGGCTGAAGGCCGTCGCTCGCGCGCGCGTCTTCCGGCCCACGGGGTGGGGCGGGGGTGGGGGGGGAGATGCCAGGAGGAGCACGACTTCCGGTGCGAGGCGCAGTCGTCGCGCCTGTCCGGCCCAATGGCGGCCCCGCTGCTTCACACGCGGTTGCTCGGAGATGCGGCCGCTTCGGCCTCTGCAGGCAAGACGCTGGGCGCGACGAGGACTGGGTGAGCGTCCGGGACGCTTCATTCTGCGCATCTGGGAACGAAGTTCAGGACCGGGGTTAGGGCAGCGGATGTGAAAGGGCCTAGGGCAGAGCTGAAGGAATCGTGGGAGCAACGGGTAGAGGGTCATCTCAGGTCCTCAGGAGTAAGCCCATGCCCCTTAAGTGGGTGGTAAAGGTGGGAGAGGGGCTGGGAAAATGAATCTGTTCTCCGTTCCAGAGTCCCCTTTTCTCCCCACGGGGCTCCCTCATAGCGCCCCAGGCCTGGGTGCTACCTTCTCCTTTGCTCATCCCTCCCGCTTCTTCGTCTAGACTTGGAAAGAGTTCCCTGACCTCATTGATTTATCAGGCGAATGCTGTCATTGATGGCAAACGGACTCGTAATTTTCTGTTGATGTTTGAAATTTGTTTCCACATACACGTTTTTTAACAGCCTGTCTTCCTCCACTCTTTTTTCTTTTTTTTAAGATTTATTATCTATTTGAGAGCGAGCGAGCGAGCGAGCTGGGGGAGGGGCCCAGGGAGAGAGAATCTCAAGCCGACTCCCCGCTGAGCTCAGCGCTGGAGGTGGGGCTCAGTCTCAGGACCCTGAGATCATGACCTCATCCGAAATCAAGAGTCACATGCTTAACCGACTGAACCATCCAGGCGCCCCTGTCTTTTTCAACTTTTAAAGCTCCTAACCCCCATAAAACATTCTGGGGTTTAACTTTGAGAGTCATTAGTAAGATGCTGTGTCGCCCCCCCCCCCCCCCCCCCCCCCCCGCTCTGCTTTGTGTAAAGGAAGAAAACTTTGTGAAACACTTAGCAATTATATCATTCATGGTATTTATTAAGTGCCTATACTTTATTGGTTATACACTGAAGACTAATCTATCAAAAGAGACAACATCTGTGCTCGCAACAGAGCTTACAGTCTAAGGAGGGAAAGACAGTGACTAATAAATAAAAGAACAGTATGGTTTCAGGTAGAGATAACCTGAAGAAATAAAAACAGGGTGATGGGGGGAGTGAGGGGATGGCCAGACTTTAGATTTTGGCCCCTCTGACATTTGACCTTAGCTTGAATGACCTTAGCTTGAATGAAGACAAGAACCCAGCATGTCTAGGTCTGGAGCATGAGTGTTTCTGATAAAGGGAACAGCAAGAGAAATGGGAATCAGCTTGGCAAGTTTGAAGAATAGCAAGGACACTATGGTTGCAGTATGTTAAGTGGTTGGAGATGAGGTCAGAGAGGTAGTCAGGGGCCGGATTAATGTAGGACCTTGAAGACAGCGACGAAGAGTTTGAATTTGTATTCTAAGTGAGGTGGGAAACCTTTGGAGAATTTAACAGGAGAGTAGAGTAGCATGATCTGTTTTAAGTTTTGGAAAAGATCATTAGATCACTGAAAGAAGACTGTTGGGAGGTTAGAGTGGAAGCAAGGAAGCCAGGTAGGAGGCCTTAGCGATAGTCCCACTGAGTGATGTTGGCTCCATAAGTGTTGACTATTAAAATTTTTATTATTCTCTGTCCTGCACTTAATAGTGTGATAATCTTGGTTCTACAGGCTTTCAGATATGCTCACTTTGGAGAATGATTTCTTCAATTCTCCCCCAAGAAAAACTGTTCGGTTTGGTGGAACTGTGACAGAAGTCTTGCTGAAATACAAAAAGGTAAGAGATCATGTGAGGTTTGATGTCTTTCTCCCTGCTGCTTTATTGAGATGTAATTGATACGTTGAGGTTTGGTTTTTGTTGGTTAGGATACAATTGTAGCCTTTATACTAAAGACCAGTAGACATAATAAAATGAATTTTAGATGTCAGTCTTGAAGTCAGTTGTTTAATAACAGCATTATGCTATCAGCTCAAAATTAGAGTAATAACCTCTTTGCTGAGGTTGTATGTCTTCAAATGCTTTATTTACATAGTATCTTTCAAAAACTTGAGCAGGTGCTAGAATAAAAATCATTGATCAGAGCATTTTCTTTCTTTCAAAAAAAATTTTTAAGGATTTTATTTATTTATTTGAGAGAGAAAGAGTGAGTGAGAGCACCAAAAGCCGGGAGGGTCAAGGAGAAGCAGACTTCCTGCTGAACTGGGAGCCCATTGCTGGCTTGATCCTGGGACCGCGGGATCATGACCTGAGCCGAAGGCAGACCCTTAACTGACTGAGCCACCCGGGCGCCTAAAAGCATTTTATTTCTAAAGGAATTACCTAAGCATTGTTTTGGGACAATAAACCAGCTCTGTCAATAGAGATTTTTTTTTTTTTTTTTGGTTCTGTGTTAGTTTAGAAGTGATTCTACTAAATCTCAGTGATGGAAAATATGAATGTTTTATTTATATGTATAAGCATTTTATTTATTTATTTATTTATTTATTTATTTATTTATTTATTTATTTAAATGATTTTATTTATTTGACAGATACAGTGAGAGAGGGAGCACAAGCAGGGGGAGTGGGAGAGGGAGAAGCAGGCCTTCCGAGGCTCAGGGAGCCTGATGCGGGGCTGGATCCCAGGACCCTGGGATCATGACCTAAGCCGAAGGCAGACGCTTAATGACTGAGCCACTGTATAAGCCAGGCGCCCCTGTATAAGCATTTTAAATCTACATATATGAATGGATGGTACCTTGTGTCATCAGCTATTTTATTTTAGGTGTCAGTACATAAGTATACCTAAATGTGAACAACCTTTCAGTATTCATTTAGTTTTTTTCCAAGCTGCCTAGCTCCACTAACGTGAGTTTTTAAATTTTTGGAATTATAATTTTACAGTCCAATGATGTGTGAAAGTTATAATGTTCCTTTTGTAATAGTTAAAAGTCCTGCTGTTGGTCTTTAACAGGAAACTGAAGTAAGCAGAACTACTTTCTTTTTTTTCCCGTTCTTGTTTAGGGTGAAACAAATGACTTTGAGTTGTTGAAGAACCAGCTGTCAGATCCAGATATAAAGGTAATTAATTTACATTTGTTCATTAGCAAAGCTGTAGCCACTTTGTACAGATTCAGTTTGCACTTTTGGTCCTGTTCCATCCTCTAGAACTTGCTCTCTGTATGATCCGTCGCTTGAATGCAGCGGCTCTCAATGGCTCTCAATGGGCACTTTTGCCCCCAGGGCACATTCGGTGATGAACTGGAGACATTTTTGGTTGCCACGTCTTGGGGAGGGAGGGGCGCTCCTAGCATCCAGTGAGTGGATGACAGGGATGCAGCTACACAGCCAGCAATGCACAGGGCGGCCCTCCACAACAAAGAATTCTCAAGTCTGAGATGCTAGGACTGCTCAGGTTGAGCATCCCTGCTTTATCTTTATCTTTCTGGAACCTCTTTCCTCTATGCTGCATGCTGCTCTCATGTCTCTCCACCGAGAAAACAAAAACACAAGTTGACTTGTCTTTCGAGCTAGTACACTTTTCATTGTTTTTGGAAATGTTTCAAGAGATATACCTTTTAAGATATATACCTGTCATGTAGGCACAACTCAGTGAATTTTGTTTCCCAACTTTGGAAAGAGTAGTCTCTTACCATGGCAATAGTAGTCAGATCGTCTGGGATCAAATCCTTACTCTCTTGTTCCCCAGTGTGTGATCTTGGGCAGGTTGTTTAACCTCTTTGCCTCTGTTTTTGTCTTTGTAAAACCAGAAAAACAATAGAGGTCTTTTAAATGTGAGGTTTTATAGGATCCAGTGAGTTAATATATGAGAAGCACTTAGAACAGCCCCTGACACAAAGGGCTTCGTTAGCTGTTATTCCTGCTGACAGCCCGCACTTTCTCATTTCCCTGCGCATTTAAATCCACTATGAAGTCCTCTGCTCTGATTACTATGACAGAGATTACCAGTCATTTCTTACATGCTGATTTCAGCAGACTTTTTTTTTTTTCCAAGCGTTTTACGAATTCCTTGTAGCAGTTGACACTGTTGACTGCCCACTTCTTAAAACCTTCCCTTCAGTTTCTGGGATCTTCCTGTCTTCTTATCACTTACGTCTAATCATTCTTGTGACTGGTTATTAAATTTGGTGTTGATTAGGTTTCTAGACTTGACCCTTTCCTTCCTGTAAGAATTATTCCTGCATGATCTTATGCCCTCGTGGCTTTGGAATTCCTGTGGCCTGGTAACTTCCAGATTTGTATCTATAGCTCATATTGCTCTTGTGGGCTCTAGACTTGTTTGTTTGTTTGTTTTTAAGGTTTATTTATTTATTTTAGAGAGAGCATGTGCACAAGCAGGGGGAGAGGTGGAGGAAGAGAATCTCCAGCAGATTCCTCCTGAGTGCGGAGCTCGACATGAGGCTTGATCCCACGACCCCAAGGTCATGACTCCAGCTGGAATCAGGAGTCAGATGCTTAACTACCTGAGCCACCCAGGCACCCCTCCCGACTTGTTTCTTAACTGCCAGCCCACAAATATTACAAGTGCCCCAAATTTATCATTTTCTCTCTCCCAAACACACTCCTCTACAGTCTTCTTTATTGCCTTAACTGATGTATTGCTTACCTAATTCTTAAGCTAGGAACCTTGGGGTCTTTCTCGACTTCGTCACCCCTCGTTTCCATCGATTCACCAGGGCCTTTGGTGGAAAAAAAAAAGTCTTTCAAGGCTTCTTGTGTTGTTGGTGCTCTTTTGTCTGGATTCTTCTCTTAACTCCTTTAGGTTATCTAGGTTTCCAGTTCTCCTCTATCTCCCATTACCCCCCCCCCCAAATTTTACCCTCCACAGTGCAGCCTGAATCCTCTCTAAAGCATATGCTAAACGTGTCGTTTTCCTGGGGGGAAACTTAATGCCTTTTGCAGAAAGGCCGAGCTTCTTAGCATGGTCTGCTGCATTGTTTTTCTATGTTCAGTTTCACTAGATACTTTATTCCATGAGTTCGCCACTTTTTTTCACCTTTTTTTTTTTTTTTTAATTTTTAAAAAAGTAATCTCTACACCCAGCATTGGGTGCCACTTCTGTTCATCTTTATCTCTTTTCATGTGCCTTTTGTGGCTGCAAGAGGTCCTCTGTAGTCACTTTAGTTGCTACCTATTGGAGCATGGGATTACCGTGCCTCCCTCCCTTACTGGCTTTGTGACTGAGGGTAAGTATACTGCACTTTTGTGCCTCATTGGCCCCAGCTATAAAATGGGAACCAGTGGTAGCACCTACCTCATGGGATGGTTGTAAGGATTAAATGACCATATGTTAAAATCTTAGAACAGTGCCTGGCATGGTAATTACTATATTAGTGTTTACTGTTATTATTAGTTTATCTACAAAACTCCTACTATTTGAGATCCAGCTGAAGTATCCTCTTTTTTTTTTCAAATTTTTTTTTTTTAATATTTTATTTATTTGACAGAGAGAGACAGAGCAAGAGAGGGAACACAAGCAGGGGGAGCGGGAGAGGGAGAAGCAGGCTTCCTGCTGAGCAGGGAGCCCGACACGGGGCTTGATCCCAGGACCCTGGGATCATGACTCGAGCTAAAGGCAGACGCTTAACGACTGAGCCACCCAGGCGCCCCATCCTCTTTTTTTTTTTTTTTAAAGAATTTATTTATTTATTAGAGAGAGAATGAGCAGGGAGAGGGGCAAAGGGAGAGGGAGAAGCAGACTCCCTGCATAGCAGAGAGCCTGATGTAAGGCTCGAGCCCAGGACCCTGGGATCATGACCCAAGCTGAAAGCAGACTCTTTTTTTTTTTTTTTTAAAGATTTATTTATTTATTTGAGAGAGAGAGCACATGAGAGGGGGGAGGGTCAGAGGGAGAAGCAGATTCCCTGCCAAGCAGGGAGCCCGATGCGGGACTCGATCCAGGGACTCCAGGATCATGACCTGAGCCGAAGGCAGCCGCTCAACCAACTGAGCCATCCAGGCACCCTGAAAGCAGACTCTTAACTGAGGTGCCCCTGAAGTGTCCTCTTTAATGGAACTTTCCTTGGTTCTCTCTAAGCACATGGGTGTTCATTTCACTGTATTCCCCACCCTTCCAGTAGATCTTCGTAATTACAAATCTGGCTTACAAGGACTTTGGTAATTTATCTCTGCCCCTCCTTGATTCCCCTGTTTGTCTGTTGACTTGCTTACCATATACTCCAGCCATAACAGAACTGCTTTTGGTTTTCTCAGTACATGCTTGTCACTCTGTGAGGAATGAAGCCCCTAGAGAACACCCAGTCTGTTTATAGGCAGCAGAAGTCACTTCCTGTTTGAAGCTCTCCCTGACCCTGGCGTTCTTCTACGGGTACAAAGGACCATTTTCTTTGTGTTCTGTTGTTTTTAGGATTTTATTTATGTTTTAAGTAATCTCTATACCCAGTGTAGGGCTCAAACTTAACAACCCCGAGATCTAAGAGTCACATGCTCCACCGACTGAGCCAGCCAGGTGCCCCCACTGTATTTTTTATCAGCACTTCTCATCGGTATCTTGACATACCAACAGTTGCATCAGTTGTATCTGTTAGTTCAGAGAGTGTTGCAAGTGATTTGCTTCTAATAGTGGTTCAGTACTAAAGCACCAGAGTCTGCAACTAGTACTCTTTAAAAAAAATGGAGCAGGGGCGCCTGGGTGGCTCAGTTGGTTAAGCGACTGCCTTCGGCTCAGGTCATGATCCTGGAGTCCCTGGATCGAGTCCCGCATCGGGCTCCCTGCTCGGCAGGGAGTCTGCTTCTCCCTCTGACCCTCCCCCATCTCATGTGCTCTCTCTCTCATTCTCTCTGTCTCAAATAAATAAATAAAATCTTAAAAAAAAAATAAAATTAAAAATTAAAAAAAATAAAAAAATGGAGCAGTTTTGGGGCGCCTGGGTAGCTCAGTCGTTAAGTGTCTGCCTTCGGCTCAGGTCATGGTCCCAGGGTCATGGGATCGATCCCCGCATCGGGCTCCCTGCTCCGCGGGAAGCCTGCTTCTCCCTCTCCCACTCCCCCTGCTTGTGTTCCCTCTCTGGCTGTCTCTCTCTCTGTCAAATAAATAAATAAAATCTTAAAAACAAAACAAAACAAAAACGGAGCAGTTTAAATGTTAGCTTTATAATTTTCTTGCACTTTTTTTTAGTGGAAAAGGGATAGGATAGAGTTAACTCATTTTTATTTGCACATACCTTAGCTTGTCTTCTCTGCTTCAGGCCTTGGTGAGCTATCAGTACAGTTACCTTTACTGGTTGTGGACATTATGAAATTACCATAGTGCAAATGAGTTGCAATTTACTTGATTTAATTGCCAGCTTACTTGGGGTTTCATCAGGGAAGAGTCAATCTCATTGAAATTTGTCACAGATAGCACGTCGCAAGCAGTCAACGGTTGAATGAAGTTGGGGAAAAGGCGGTGGGCTCCTTCTCTGTGTGGAGCGAGGTATTGTGGGAGAGTGGACAGAGCGTAGGCTTTGACCCAGTCAGACAGGTTTGAACCCAGTTCTTTATTAGCTTCTCACATGGGCAGGTTGCTTACTAATTTCTCTTAGCCTCAGTTTCCTCAGCTGTAAAAGGGGAACGCCAGGGCGCCTGGGTGGCTCAGATGGTTGGGCGTCTGCCTTCGGCTCAGGTCATGATCCCGGGGTCCTGGGATCGAGTCCCGCATCGGGCTCTCTGCTCCTTGGGAGCCTCTTCTTGCTCTGCCTCTCTCTCTCTGTCTCTCATGAATAAATAAATAAAATCTTTAAAAAAAAAAAAAAAGGGGGGAACGCCAGCAGTCCATTTTCAGCATTGTTAGGATTAGTAAGGGATGCATTTGTGTGGTGTTGGCACCATGCCTGGCACCTGCTGTGTTCTCACTAAATGATACCCCGTATCAGTAGTCTGTAATTGCAGGTACAACCCTGGCTGGCAGTAGTCTCTCACGTAGGTACCATACTGTCTGTAATATTCTATCACTGTAAGCACAACACTGTCTGTTAATAATCTCTTGTGATAGGAACGACATTGTAGTGCTTTTGTTTATTTATATGTTCCTTTCCCCTACTGAGTCTTAATCAGCAATAACCATTTCTTTCAAAGTTGGGGTTTTTTAGTTTGTTCTTATGTATTTGTGCATATGAATTAATACAAACTATATTTTATATTTATCTAACCTATAGCATATTTTATACATGGCTTGTTTTCTTTTAGCAGTTTTTCCCATGTCACTAAAAGTTATTAATGATGAACAGTAATTTTATTGCCTAAAAAATACTTCATAGAGTAGTGGAGCCAACATTTATATATAACACATCTTTTTTTTTTGAGAGAGAGAGAGGGAGAGAACATGCACGCGCAGGGGGAGGGGGCAGGGAGAGAGAGATTCTTTCAATTAGCAGTAATCGCGCCTCGGATAAACCTCATCGGCTACGATACTGCCACTGCGCAAAGCTGAGAGAGAGAGATTTTTTTTTTTTTTTATTCTTATGTTAATCCCCATACATTACATCATTAGTTTTAGATGAAGGGTTCCATGATTCATTGTTTGTGCATAACACCCAGTGCTCCATGCAGAATGTGCCCTCCTCAATACCCACCACCAGGCTAACCCATCCTCCCACCCCCCTCCCCTCCAGAACCCTGTTTGTTTTTCAGAGTCCATCGTCTCTCATGGTTCGTCTACCCCTCCGATTTCGCCCGCTTCATTCTTCCCCTCCCGCTACCTTCTTCTTCTTCTTTTTTTTTCTTAACATATATTGCATTATTTGTTTCAGAGGTACAGATCTGAGATTCAACAGTCTTGCACAATTCACAGCGCTCACCATAGCACATACCCTCCCCAATGTCTATCACCCAGTCACCCCATCCCTCCCACCCCACCCCCCAATCCAACAACACTCAGTTTGTTTCCTGCGATTAAGAATTCCTCATATCAGTGAGATCATATGATATATGTCTTTCTCTGTTTGACTTATTTCACTCAACATAATACCCTCCAGTTCCATCCACGTCGTTGCAAATGGCAAGATCTCATTCCTTTTGATGGCTGCATAATATTCCATCGTATATATATATATATACCACATCTTTATCCATTCATCTGTCGATGACATCTTGGCTCTTTCCACAGTTTGGCTATTGTGGACATTGCTGCTATAAACATCGGGGTGCACGTACCCCTTCGGATCCCTACTTTTGTATCTTTGGGGTACCCAGTAGTGCAATTGCTGGATCATATGGTAGCTCTATTTTCAACTTTTTGAGGAACCTCCATACAGTTTTCCAGAGTGGCTGCACCTGAGAGAGAGAGATTCTTAAGCAAGGTCCACGCTCAGCGCAGAGCCTGACGTGGGGCTCCATCTCAGCAACCCTGAGATCATGACCTGAGCCGAAATCAAGAGTCAGATGCTTAACCAACTGAGCCACCAGGTGCCCCTGTCTATAACAGATCTTAATATATTTAAGTCTAGTTACAGGTTGGGTTGAGAAAAAGTTATATGTATTGATGTCTCTAATTAATTAGCTTAGACTGAGTATTAAGATGTTTTCACGTCAGCATGAATATAGAGGAAATTGAGGTAACTCTTGGTCCTGTGGTCTTACAGTATTTGAATCTGCTATGTTCTTTATGCAGTTCGAAAAATTCCCACCTATCAACATTTCCACTTATCTCCTGTATGTCAGAGTTACTATGTTGCTTTTTTTTAAAAAAAAAAAACAGGAAAAGATATTGTAACATCCTTCTGTTTTGATACAAACTAAGAAATTTTCATCCCAATTTTGGCTTCAGTGCAAGTTTGTGACTTTTTCTCCTAATTTAAATATTATTGGTAGGTGCTTGGTGCAAAATAGGTATCATGTTTTCGTTATTTTAGAGGATTTGTGATTTTGAAAGCACTTTTCTTTGTTTACCTTAAGGATGACCAGATCATTAACTGGCTGTTAGAATTCCGTTCTTCCATCATGTACTTGACTAAAGAGTTTGAGCAGCTTATCAGTATTTTATTGGTAAGTTTGCCACTTACTTCACTGACTAGTATGTGATTCAGTACTTTGAAAACAGAACACATTGTATCAGTAAAATGTTTCTTACATGTTTCTTTCCCTCCCACCTCTAGAGATTGCAGTGGTTGAATAGAAGTCAGACAGTGGTGGAGGAGTATTTGGCTTTTCTTGGTAATCTTGTATCAGCACAGACTGTCTTCCTTAGACCATGTCTCAGCATGATTGTTTCTCATTTTATACCTCGTAAGTGGTTCTTTGCTTTCTTTGCTTTCTCATTTTTTAAATACCTCTTTTTTAAGATACTACCTTCTCAGAACCCTGTGGGGATTGTGCCAACATGGAAAATTCTGAAATGCATATTGGCAGCAGTTTTGGTACATGTCTGTTCCCTATAATGATTTCTATGGAAGCATTTAGATTTGTTGCTGTGATTTTTTTATGTTAAGTGTTAGAAGTCAGGAATTTTTAGCTTTACTTAGAAAGTTACTTGACGCTTTTTTTTCCTTTAGACTGCAAATTCAATCATTGTACTAAGTTTGGACAATGGAAAAATCACTTTTTTGTGTAGCTGTTGATGTTTAGGTCAGTGACAAAAAGAATGACATATTTTGTTTTTCCATCAAAAGCCCGAGTGGTCATTAAGGAAGGTGACGTCGATGTTTCAGATTCTGATGATGAAGACGATAGTAAGTATAAACAGGATTAAACAAGGGATGCCTCCTGTGTCTGAGAGAATGCTGCTGAATGATAAAGTATAGGGCAACTCCAGGATTTATTCTAATGGGTAGGCTGCAACAAATGGCAACCTCTGATGGAATCTTTTTGGTTACATTTAGCATTAACATGTAACCAATTGCCCTTAGTGCATTACTTATGTAATTAATCCACTTAGTCTTCATTGATGGTTGATTCTGGAGAAAAATCTTAAATTTAGTATTTTGCTAGTAAATGATTCAGTTCTGGTTAGCGGGTGTTTTTAGCTTAAAACATCATTTTTCAGTTTTCAGTTTTATTTTTATGTTCATACTCTCGCTTTTCTCCTTGTAGATCTTCCTGCCAATTTTGACACATGTCACAGAGCCTTGCAGATAATAGCAAGATATGTCCCCTCGTGAGTATCCTTTTGTTACTTACTTTGAATCATGGTCTTTAAGTCTCAAGAAAATTATGATCGATTAGTAGGAACTTAATTATGTTCATAGCATCAGAACTCAAGTTGTATGCTACATGTTTTTGTATCTTGATATAACATTCTACAAAACGGCATTTTAGTTCTCTCTTCATTGTTTTTATTTAAATTATTTAAAAATTAATTTAAGAATTAATGACTTAATTAAAATTATTTAAATTCTTATTTGGCGCTTTGTGTGCAAATTTTCCTCCAAATTTTGTATAGTGGTTGGAATTTTGCTTTTATCTTCAACAAGGTATGATACCCCAAAATTTTCAGTGAGCAACCCCTGTGTGCTTGTGTCATGTCATATAAATAAAAATTGCAGTTCTAATATTGTATGTTGATTATATTTGAATATTTTTTTCCTAAGGATTTATTTTATTTTAGAGAGGGAGAGCCTGAGCGGGAGGGAGAGGGAAAGAATCTCATGCAGACTGCCCTCTGGGTGCTGTGTGGCTCCATCCCACAAGCCTGAGATCATGACCTGAGCCGAAATCAAGAGTCAGTTGCTTAACCAACTGAGCCACCCAGGAGCCCCATATTTGGAATTTTTAAAAAGTTATAGTTCTAAGAAAAACTTGGGTTTCTTTTGGAAGAGTAGACTTAAAGTTCTCTCTGTAAGTTTGTTATTTGTTAACTTAAAAAAAATAATTTGGGGCGCCTGGGTGGCTCAGATGGTTGGGCGTCTGCCTTCGGCTCAGGTCGTGATCTCAGGGTCCTGGGATCGAGTCCCGCATCGGGCTCCCTGCTCCTTGGGAGCCTGCTTCTCGCTCTGCCTCTCTCTCTCTGTCTCTCATGAATAAATAAATAAAATCTTTAAAAAAAAAAAAAACAAAATAAATAAAAATAAAAATAAAAAAAATAATTTGTTGGGCGCCTGGGTGGCTCAGTTGGTTGAGCGACTGCCTTCGGCTCAGGTCATGATCCTGGGGTCCTGGGATCGAGTCCCACATCGGGCTCCCGGCTCGGCGGGAGGCCTGCTTCTCCCTCTCCCACTCCCCCTGCTTGTGTTCCTGCTCTCGCTGTCTCTGTCAAATAAATAAATAAAATCTTTAAAAAAAAAAAATAATAATTTGTTAACTTAAAAAAAAGTTGATGCTTTTTTCTCCTTTTTAAAGTAATATATCTGGGAAAGCACTGCCGTGGGAAACATTTAGATTTTAAACTGAAGCTCTTTTGCTTTTGTAGAAAAGAATCCCCCTTTTTATTTTGCTATTGATATCAAAGTTAATAGAAGGTTATTTCCCCCTAAGGTATTATAGATTTTCTCTGAATAAGTTCTGATTATTAGAAGTAGTTAGTTACCATTTGCCTCCTGCATCCATATTTGCTCTTAGAATGGAAATGTCACCTTCCAAGAAAGTCCAGTTAACATGGATTGATTTTTTAATTTTTTTATTCTTTAAATAGGACACCGTGGTTTCTTATGCCAATATTGGTGGAAAAATTTCCATTTGTTCGAAAATCAGAGAGAACATTGGTAAGCAATCTTTTCATGGGGAAAATAATGGAAAAGTTGTGATTTAGTTTTAGGTGATGTTACATCTTTTTCTTAGCAGTTGTTTTCCAGATTAAACTCAAGACTAAGAATGTGACTCAGATTCCTTTCTTAGGAACTCACTGAGGATCCCCAGTGCCTTTTTCCCTTAAGTCAAGGGCAGAGTCCATTTCAGAAATATCTGAATAGGTTTAGTGATTATACAGATAAAAATTACTAGAAGGTAGTAGTCTATACATTATACCAATTGTAAACATGCCTTATTTGAACATGAAGGCAGAACCTTCTATGGATGAATTCTTCTTAAGTTTTTGTGTAATATTTAGATGACTTCTGGTTTTCAATAATGAATAATGAATAATGGTTTCCTACTAAGCATAGCTTATTTTTTCCTAAATAAGGTATTATAAGTATTAAATACGGAGTTAATAAGGTTTGCTAATGTTTGTGATAGTCTGCTTCAAGTGGCATATTATAAATCTTATATCTCTTATGAATATAGATATAAAAATCCTCAACAACCCACTAGAAAACTGCATTTAGTGACGTAAAGAGTTATGCACTATGACCAAATGAAATTTATCCTAGCACTGCATGGTTCATTTAATACCTGTTAAAATCAGTTAATAAAATTCCACCAACAGTCAGTGGAATAGATGACAGGAACCACATGATCATTTCAGTAGATGCACAAAAGCATTTGACAAACACCAGAACTCTTTCATGACAAAAATAGAAGGGAACTTTTTCAACCTGATAAAGGACATGTATGAAAAACTCACAAGTAGTATCCTATTCAATGGTGAAAGAGCTTTCTCCTAAGATAAGGAACAAAACAAGGATGTCTGCTTTTGCCCCTTTTGTTCAGTATTGTACTAGACGTTCTAGCAAGGGCAGGTGGGAAAAGGAAAAGGCATCCAGATTGGAAAGGAAGAAGTAAAAAATGCCTGTATTTGCAGATGACATGATCCTACATTTAGAAAAATCCTGAGGAATCCTCAAAGCACTATTAGAAGTGAGATGAGTTCAACCTGGTTATAGAATATAAGATCAATATACAAAAGCCAGTAGTATAAGATAATTCAATGGGGCAAAGAACAGTCTTTTCCATAAATGGTTGTGGGACAAGTGGAAATCTACATGCAAAGAATGAAGCCGGGCCTCCCCTCACACAGTAAACAAAAATGAACTCAAAGTGGATTAAAGACCTAAATGTAAGCTAAAAAAAGCTCTTAGTAAGAACACATAGGTAAGCATTTTCGTGACCTGGAATTAGGCAACAGTTTCCAGATAGGATGCCTGAAACACAAGAGCCACAGAAAACCAGATGACTTCAACTTCTTTACAGTTTATCAGCTGTGCTTCATGGACACCTTCAAGAGAGTGAAAAGACAACCCAAACAGTGGGAGAAAATACTTGCAAGTTGTGTATATCTAGAATATATGAAGAACTCTAATATCTTGATAATAAAAAGGCAAATAACTAAAAAATGGACACACGATTTGAATGGATATTTCTCCAGAATTGATACACTTATGGTCAGTGTTGAGGAAAAGCTCAGCATCACTAGCTGTCAGGGAAACGCAAGAGGAAACCATAATGCAAGATCCCACTTCACACCCGCTGGGATGGCTGTACTCAGAGGGACAGATAGTAACAAGTAGTGGTGAGGATGTGGAGAAGTCAGAACCCTCGTTCCATCGCTGGTGAGAGTGGAGAATGGTAGGTGCCGAAGTGCTCTGGGAAGTCCTCTTGACCTTTTCTCAGAAAGGTTAAGCAGAGAATTGCCATACAAGTTAGCATTTCCACTGCTAGGTGTCTATCCAGCAGAAAATGTATGTCTTGGGTGCCTGGGTGGCTCAGATGGTTAAGCGTCTGCCTTCGGCTCAGGTCATGATCCCAGGGTCCTGGGATCGAGTCCCGCATCGGGCTCCCTGCTCAGTGGGGAGCCTGCTTCTCCCTCTGCCTCTCTCTCTCTCTGTCTCTTATGAATAAATAAAATCTTAAAAAAAAAAAAGAAAATGTATGTCTACGCAGCACTTTACCCGGATATTCAAAATATGGAAATAACCAAATGTTTACGGGCCAATGAATCAACAAAATGTGGTATGTGTATACAGTGGGTATTATTTGGCAATAAAACAGAGTGGTTTACTTGCCACAGAGTGAGTGAATCTTGAAAACATGCTAAAACGCCACATAGTATAAGAATCCGCTTCCATGACAGGTCTAGCATAGGCAAATTCTTAGAAAGTAGATCAGTGGTTACTGAGGGCTTGGGGGGAGGTACATTACTAAAAGATAACCCTATCCTTTCTAGGTGATGAAAATTTCTAAAACTGGTTGTGGTGACAGTTGCACAACTCTGAGTACACTAAATACTGTTGAATCGTACACTTTAGATGGATGAATTCTATCTCAAACCTGGTTAAAAAATTTCTGTGGAAGTATACAGATTACAAATTTACGGAGGTGGGGTGGAGTGCCTGATTGGCTCAGTTGGTAGAACATGTGACTCTTGATCCTAAGGGTTGTGAGCTCAAGCTCCCCTTTGCGTGTAGAGATTACTTAAAAATAAAATCTTAATAAAACCAACCCCCCCAAACATTTAATTCACCAGGGGGTAATTAGATTAATGATACTGAACATTGTGTTGATAGAGGAACAGTATAGTTTCTGTGCTGCTGGATAGTCTCTTTTTTCTGTTTAATTGGAACTAAAGATTATATAATTAGTGTTTTTCTTATGTCATTATGAAACATTTATCCTCTATTGAAATGTTTTGTCTTTTTATGTTTTAGGAATGTTATGTTCATAATTTACTAAGGATTAGTGTATATTTTCCAACCTTGAGGCATGAAATTCTGGAGCTTGTGATCGAGAAGCTACTCAAGTTGGATGTAAGTATTTGATAACCTGTTTTTCTCACTGATTTTCATTTATTAAATACATAATCATAGTATGTGAAACAATAGAAGCAATGATGGAGAAGAATCCACATTTCCACCTTTGATTTCTTTGAACATTTCTTGAACTTGATGGATGTGCTGCTGGTTATAGACAGTCCCATCTCTCCTGGTTGGGGAACAAGGCATTAGATGGTCACACACATGTGAAAGTACAGTCGTGGTAAATGCTGTGAATGGAACACATGTCGTTATGTGCTGGAAAACCTGATGTCATGCGAAGGGGTCAGAAAGGCATTCCTAAGGAAGTGATGTTGAATTCTTTATACCCTTTTTTAAAGAGGTCTGCAGTGGGAATGAAGGAAAGTGGTGGGTTCTAGTGACATGGGGGAGGAAAGGCGGAACCGGTCCTTGGGACTGGGTTGGAAGTGGAGAAGTACAGGGTAAGAGAGCAGTTGCTCCCTGGGGAATGGAGTTGGTGTGTTAGCAGTAAGGAGAAAAGTCAGGAGGAGGTTGAAAGAGGAAGAGTTCCGTTGTGGATGGACTGGGGTGCAGCTGGGGCGCCTGATGGAGAATGGTCAGCAAGCAGTGGTAGTGGCCAGGAGGGGCTGGGACACACCTGTGCCGGGATGCCGATGAGTCGGGAGAGAGGAAGTGTGATGGGTGGGGAAGGTGAGTACGGACACCTGCAGAGGATCTGGAAGAAGGAAGGGTTTGGGCAGTGGTGTGAGCTACTGTTGACGTTTTTAAGGAGGATGAACAGAGCCAGTGTCCTTGGATTTGGTGATTCGGAGGGAGTCTGTTGCCGTGTCCCTGGAGGGGATGCTGTGTTTCAGGGGAGAGTGCGTGGTTGGTGAGGGTATAGGAGGGGATGGAGCGGGGCTGTTGGGGGAGACATGAGGTCTGTGGCCTGAGGAGCTGTGAGTGATGGAGGAGAGCCCCGATACTGTGGCGGGGGGGACGAGGCAGCAGTGCGGCAGGCCGGGGATGAGCTGGAGGATGGCAGGCTGGCGCAATGCTCACTGGGAGGAAGGCTGTCTGGCCGGCTGCACGTATCATCTGTAAAGTCTTTCCGTGGTTCATACTGTGCAACGGTGGAGAGCACATGTAGAAAGGAGGTCATGTAGAGAGAGTAAAAAATGTATGATTTGAATCTTGTGTGATGCGAGATAGGGTTATATACCAAAATGAATATTCAGTAATTCCAGTTGACTTGCATTTTGTCATTTTCCTGTTCAGTTGATGGATGATATGCTTCTTGTACAACATGTTAAGAGTTGGAATGAATGTTCAGTTTGTGGAAACTGATTTAGACCAGCACACTGCATTTCATAATGATTTTATAGAAGTATGTAGTGAAAGGGGTGTGATTTGTAGTCTCGTAAATTCCTTTGTGACCCAGACCAGTTGGTAGGTTTGCACCGTAATTGTGTATTGAGTTACAGGGCCAGAAAGGGTGCTCATGTGGACCCCTTCGAAGTATGTATATCAGACGAATTTCCAGTCCCCGAATAAAGTAGTTGTATTTTTCTTTTGTTTTTTAAGGGAGAGAGGGAGCAAGTTGTGGGGGGGGCGGGTGCGGTGTGCAGAGAGAGAGAGGGAGAGAGACTCTCAAGCAGACTCCACGCTGAATGCAGATACCAGTGCGGGTCTTGATCTCACAACCCTGAGATCATGACCTGAGCCAGAACCAAGAATCAGGTGTTTAACTGACTGAACCACCCAGGTGCCCCAAAATAGTTGTTTGTTTGTTTGTTTTTTTAAGATTTTATTTATTTGAGAGAGAGCATGAGAGTGAGGGATATTGGGAGCAGGGTGGAAGGGTGAGGGAAGGGCAGAGGGAGAGGGAGAAGCAGGTTCCTTGCTGAGTAGGGAGCCCTATTCTAGGACCTGGGATCATGACCTGAGCTGAAGGCAGATAGCCAAATGACTGAACCACTCAGGCATCCTAAAGTAGTTGTATTTTCACTGCTTTCAATCTGTTTCCCCCGTTGTTATAATGTAGGTGAATGCATCCCGGCAGGATATTGAGGATGCTGAAGAAGCAGCCATTCAGACTGGTAGCGGGCCAGACGCCACCGAAGGACTCTTCAATATGGTCAGCACTTACTAACGACAGCTCATTATTCCACAGGGTGGGAGGAGATGGCTAACGGCCCCTCATCTTCTGCAAGGCTTTAGCTTAAAATAGTTGTTCAGCAAACTTGAAAGTGAGGTTTAAATAAGTAGCTGCTGTCATGTTGCTTACTGTCAGTAGAGTTCGTTTACTTCCAAGCCTGTGAATGTGGGAGTGGTGAAGTAGGTTTCATTTTTGTTCTTACGTTTATGCTTTCTGTTGTTGTTTTTTTTGTTTTTTGTTTTGTAAACCACATACTGTTTGTGAAGGAGCGATAAATAGGAAAGGATACCTGTGTGATTTCTTTGTTTTACATGTCTTAGGTCTTAATGCAGTATTTCTCTGCCAGGGCCGGGTTCACTGGAGGAGGAGGGCCTGAGAGGGGGATTTAGGTCACTAGGGACAAAGGGTGTGAAGAAGCAGGAAAGGCAGGGGAAGGAACTAAGCGAGAGTTTGCTCTCAGCTGGAAAATAGCTACAGCGTGATGACCCTAGCGATGACCCCCGATCCCGGGAGCTCTGGATCCCAGCTTGAAGCCAGGGAGACGGCTTCCCATGACCCCTTGTCAGCTGGTCATTTCGGCTGGGGAGGGCAGGAAGGAGTGCAAGGGCGGTTCTCCGGAGAACCGGTGCTCCCAGCAGCTGGGGCAGGGGTGCCCTGTCCTGGGAGAGACCTGGCACCAGCAGGGCCCAGCACAGTGGGTCCCAGGAGCTGGGGGAAAGCTGTGGTGTTCGTGTGGCCTTTCTCCAAGAGGGCCTTCCGTGTGACTCTCCGGCTGGGCTCGGAATCTGCTTTATTTGGAATGCCACCGGCGGTTCCGGGTCACACCTCTGGTGGGGAGTCCCTGCCTAGAGGAGGGGGTCTGTGTCTTCTCTTTGTTTTATCATTCAAAGGAAATAATCAGCTCTGAGAATTTTCCCTCTGACCTATTTGACTCCAGTTTTTAATGTCAGTTTGTCCTTTATCTTCAAAGGATGAGGATGAAGACACTGACGCGAAGGCTGACCCGCAAAGACTCGATCACATGGTCCATCCTGTAGCCGAGCGCCTGGACATCCTGCTGTCTTTGCTGCTGTCCTACATCAAGGATGTCTGCTACGTAGATGGTAACGAGCTGCACTCGTCACAGTAGCTGCATTTGAACGTGGCAGCGTGCCTGGCTGTGTGCTCGGTGTTTCTCATACATGACATAGTCCTCCTAGAGGTCCTGGACAAGTCACTGTTCCGAGGATGGGGCGAAGCGGGTTTAGAGAGATGCCGTGACTTGCCAGTGTAACAGAGCTTGAGAAGGGTGGGACTGGATTCGGGCGCAGCTACTGGTCTTCGAAGCCCCTGATGGTTTCACGGACCGTCGTAGTCGGGGACGATGTCTGGAGTTTGGTCAGTTTTAGGTGGGGATCAGATCGCACTCAAGTTGTTCAGGACCTCTGAGAGTGTAGTGCACTTTGGTACAGGGTGCTTGGTGTTAGGGATTGAGTTTGGGGGTGTCATGCTGTAGTGAATGAGTCGGGGTGCTTCTTGCCGTCCTGGAACTTTGCGTTTGGAGGCTTTGCCATGAAAACAGGATTCTTTATTCCCATCGTAAAGATTTAAGTATGATAGTTGGCCATTCAGAATAATAGGACTTGAATCTGAGTTGACTGAGTTAATTTTTTTGTTGTTATAAAAATAATACAGTTGATGAGAGAAAATTTGGGAACTATAGGAAAAGAAAAAAGACAATTTAAATGTCTGCATTCGATTTAGAGAACCATCATTAGCATTTTGAACTGTTTTTCTTTTCTGTTAGCATGTGTATATTTAGGAGTGTGTTTTTCAGTGGATTTGGGGGTCATGATGTACACAGTGATTCATAATCTGCCCTTTTCCACCTGCTGTGAACATTTTCTCAGACAATTAACTGTCCTTCTAGGTTGCTATTGATCGTGTGGATTTAATTGTCTCTTTTTTTTTTCTCCCCCCTCTTTTTGTTTTTTTTTGAAGATTTTATTTATTTGAAAGACTGAGCAAGAGAGAGAGCGCACGGGGGCGGGGGTGGGGTGGGTGGGGGAGGAGCAGAGGGAGAGGGAAAAGCAGACTCCCCTCCTGAGCAGGGGAGACTTGATTCCAGGATCATGACCTGAGCCAAAGGCAGATGCTTAACTGACTGGGCCACCCAGGCACCTTCCCCCCTCCTTTTTTTTGCCATTATAAATGTGTAATGAACATCCTTGTATATATGTATATGTCTGGAAATGTGCTTGTGATAAATTCTTAGCAGCAGAATTAGTGGATCAAAGGGCTTCTGCCCGGGGCGCTTGGGTGGCTCAGTTGTTAAGTGTCTGCCTTTGGCTCAGGTCATGATCTCAGGGTCCTGGGATCGATCCCCGCATTGGGCTCCCTGCTCCGCGGGAAGCCTCCTTCTCCCTCCCACTCCCCCTGCTTGTGTTCCCTCTCTGTCAAATAAATAAAATCTTTAAAAAAAAAAAAAGGGGGGGGCCTCTGCCACATAACTAGTAAAATTGCCCTTCAGAAGGGCTTCCTGTTCATGGCATCACAGCAGTGTGTGAGGTGAGGGCCTGCTTCATTGTCAGTGCTGGATTATTATAGTTATAAAGGAAAATCTGTGCAAAATAAAAATGGCATTTTGTTATAAGCATAGCTTAATGGGTGATATTTCTTTTTTGTATTTTATTTTTTATTTATTTTTTATTTTATTATGTTGTTAATCACCATACATTACATCATTAGTTTTTGATGTAGTGTTCCATGATTCATTGTTTGCATATAACACCCAGTGCTCCATGCAGAACGTGCCCTCCTTAATACCCATCACTGGGCTAACCCATCCCCCCACCCACTTCCCCTCTAGAACCCTCAGTTTCTAATGGGTGATGTTTCTTAATGGTATTTTATTTTTAGAAATTTGGTAAATGAAAGTGGCAGCCTAAAAACAATGTGTAAAGCTGAAATGCCAAATTTTCTCTTTAGGCAAGGTAGATAACAACAAAACAAAGGATTTATATCGAGATCTCATAACCATCTTCGACAAACTCCTGTTGCCCACCCACGCCTCCTGCCATGTACAGTTTTTCATGTTTTACCTCTGCAGTTTTAAATTGGTGAGTACCATGTCAACATGGTCTTAGCTTTTTATTCTTACCCATGATTTTCCCTTAAAAACTGGGGGTGGGGGCTGTAGGGAAGGGAGACATGAGGTATTTCTTTTTCCTGAGCTCACTTTTCTGGTGCCTCTAATAAGATAGCTCGTCCTGGAGGCGCCTGGGTGGCTCAGATGGTTGAGCGTCTGCCTTCGGCTCAGGTTATGATCTCACAGTCCTGGGATCGAGCCGCGCATCGGGCTCCGTGCTCCGTGCTCAGCGGGAGCCTGCTTCTCCCTCTCCCTCTACTGTTCCCTTGCTTGTGCTCTCTCTCTCTCTGTGTCAAATAAATAAATAAAATCTTTAAAAAAAAAAAAAAAGCTCGTCCTAGGCCAAGTGCTCCGAAAGTGCCATTCTGCGTTTGGTACGCTAGACGGTGCCCTTCCCTTTCATTCCAGTCCTGGCTGTTAAAAATCCCAGGGGATATTTAACTGTTTTTGTCCTTCATTCTCTCAGTTGATCCTAACTCACTTGATCCCAGAACAACTTCTAAATCCAGAATTTTAAAACTTTAGGCAGTGGCTTTCTGTTATGGAAACAAAAATGGAAATACAGAAGACTGTTCCTTTGCCACTGTTTTGTAGCTTCTTGGAATAGTCAGGAGAGTGCTGGGCATGGGTAAGAAGGATTAAATTTACTTTGCCCTGAAGTATGTTTTAGTGCTCTTGAAGAGAGTTATTTGGGAGAAGTTGGAGGTTGTGCCTTTGTTAAAAAGAAGCTTTCATTAGTCTTTTTTGTATGATTAGCATAATTAGTTGAACATTGCCCTTGAATCTGTGTCTCTGTTTCTGGGTAAGTTCAGTACGTGCGGTCAGAGACCGGGAGAGGGCTTGGCACTGTGACGGCCCTGCCGCACGGTTCCCACGTGAGTGTGGCTCGTCCCTGCTTTCCATTTCTGGCTAAACGGCGGGATCACTCGGATTCCAAAACTCTGTCACTGAACCTATGAAATCTGTAGGGTTGAATCTAAATTTCAGCTCATTTGGGAACTTAAATAAGGCTGGGGAACACCTTTTGTTTTTAATACTATTATCTCAGAGTGTTGTAAAATTAAGAACCATGAGAACTGCATATGTTATTTATCTAGCGGTGTGACCGAGATACTAGCACTTTCCCCTATTGCTGAGTTACAATCTTAGGATTCCGATAATCAGAGATTTCTTCAACATTAAAAAAGATTAAAGCAATACCTTCTCTTTTTATAGGGATTCGCAGAAGCATTTTTGGAACATCTCTGGAAAAAATTGCAGGATCCAAATAATCCTGCCATCATCAGGCAAGCTGCTGGAAATTATATTGGAAGCTTTTTGGCAAGAGCTAAATTTATTCCTCTTATGTAAGTAACCTAATTTTCCAAGTGCTTTTTATGTCATGCTTTAAAAAGATTATAGCAAAAAGTCTTAAGTCAGAGAAATACCTGCTTTAATTTTTGTCTGCTTTTAAAGTGAAAAAATCTGTTCCCCCATTTTATGCAAGATGTTTACATTTCCAAAAAGCAATCTCAGAATAAAATGTCTCCTTTAGATATAAAAGCTCATATGGAAAGCTTTTGTCATCTGTTTTGCATGGTTACACTTGAACGTGAAGACCCATTTGTCTTTATGGGTATTGTACAGTGTTGTATACTGTTTTGATTCTTTTTATAGGTTTGTCATTTTTCATTTGCATTCCGAATCAGTTGTATCTGTTAAAGCTGAAGAAAAAACCCTTTTAAAGGTAATAGAAAGATCTGTTTAGGAGGCCAACTCTGGGCCTACTTCTTCCAGTGATCCATGAAGATGTCTTTGGGCAAGGCTGCTGTTACAAACCCTTCCCCGACAACTAAAAGCCATCTGTCCACTCTGCCCTAAATTGTAGGCCACAGGACTTTGTCAGAACCCCATAGGGAAGGGTGAAGTCAATCAGATGGTCTCCTCCTCATAAAATGTTGCTAAATGTGCCCTTTTCTGTGGCCCTATTCCTCTGAGAGGGCAGGGAGGCCGTCAGAGAAGCCCTCTGAGTCGATAAGGAGATGCTTGTCCATCCCTTGGGACCTCAGGCAGCTTTAGGGGCCTGCCTGTTCCTAGAAGGTCCATGCACTCTACCTTAGAATTGAAAAGCTGTCTTCCTGCCCACCCATCCTTTTCCTTCCTTTGTTTGCTGCTTCTCTGTGCCCACGGGTAATAGATCAAGAAGCCTACGGACTGACTGTTCCTAGTCTGTAGTGAGAGACAGTTGTGTGTTTTTGTGTCACTTTTGGTTTTTTATGAAGCAAGTGAAGTTGACTTGGTTTTTCTTTTCCCTAGTACTGTAAAGTCATGCCTCGATCTTTTGGTTAACTGGCTGCACATATACCTTAATAAGCAGGATTCAGGAACAAAGGCATTTTGTGACGTTGCTCTCCACGGACCATTTTATTCAGCCTGTCAAGCTGTGTTCTACACTTTCGTTTTTAGACACGAGCAGCTTTTAAGTGGAAATCTGAAAGAAGGTCAGTGATGTGGGATTGATGGATGCGAACTGGATTTTCCTGGAATACTAATCACCCTTTAGAAGGGACAGGTGTTTCTTTTTTGAGAATTTGATGGAAACTGTGGAGTCAGAATAGTGCCCATGCACACGTCAAGCTTTGACACATAATTTCAAGTGGCCCTTAGGCCCCTAAAGCCCTCTAAGACCTCTCTTTAACAGAGGGTGGATTTGAGGTGGAGCACCTCTGTTTTAGAGGGTGGCATCTAGACTAATTGTGAACCATGAAGGGGCTCTTCTTCAGAGGCAAGGCCCGGCACAGCGCTTCCTGCTTGTCCTCATGCTGGCCCATGAAAGGCAGGCGTCATTCCCCACCCCCACAGGGGGACCCTTAGCACAAGCAGGATATTGATTGGCGGGATTAGATGAATATGATTCTAAAGCTTGGGGTCATAACAGTTATGCTGCTTTATCTAGGGACTTGAGCGTTCATCTACTGGTTTTCAGTTTTGCTAATTTCTAAAGGTTGCATATAATTTAAATCTACCAGATGAAGCTTGTTTATCAAGTTAGTGTGACAAGAACAATATCAGTTAAGTCCGTTTAAATGGTTTTAACTATTTGCACTTTGCAATAATTCAAATGGTTTAATAGGCTGTTTCCTCTACAGATTTTCTCAACCTCTGACATTTGGGGCTGGTTCTCTAGTTGTTGTGGGGGCCGTGCTGGGCATTCTAGGATGGTTAGCACCCTCTACCCACTAAATGTCAGTTGGGCCCCCCACAACCCTGCCCTCTGTTGTGACAGCTGGAGCTCCCCAGACACTGCCCCACGTCCTCTTGGGGGCACAGCTGCCTTGAGAGTTGAGAACCACAACTCTAAACTGAAACTTGTATGTGTTGCAGTGTATGTATTTATTTATAATCTGTTACTTCTCAAAAGGTTAAAACTAGTTGTATAAACTAGGAGTAGGACAAGGTTTTAGCACGTAAGCAAAGTATCTGCTTTTTTTGGTATGAATAAATGGCAAAAGTCTTGGTTAAAGAGGATGTTGTTCTTGTAAGCCATGACAGTATCCCATTTTTAGTTATTTTTATCAGAATATACTTCAAAGATGGGGCTCCTGGCTGGCTCAGTCAGAAGACTGTGAGACTGTTGATCCCAGGGTCGTGAGTTTGAGCCCCACTTTGGGTGTAGAGATTACTTAAATAAATAAAACTTAAAAAATATATATACATTAAAGAATCTCCTAAAATAAAATATACTTAAGCACAGGTTGGTTTGCTTGCCTTTTAAAATAAGCGTGGTGTCTTACTTTTACTAGTATAGGAGAGAATTCTATTTATTTGTTTCAGGAGAGTGGTATCTAAATTTTACTTCTATCTCCGTAGTTTCCTTGTGAAAAAAAAAAAAAAACTGATATATGAACAACTATCACATACTTGAATAACTTGCTCAATTTCACTAACAATTTCAGACGTGCAGGACTTGCTGTTTGTTTGCTCTTGTCAGATTGGCATACATATCTGTCTCTGGAAGTCAGGAAGGAGAAATTCCAGATCATACACAGTCATTACCTCTTGGGAGTGGACACTCCGCGTGTTGCCTCAACTTCGTACTGATTTCGTGATTTCTCTATAAACTCAGGATATGCTGAGTTTACAAATATCTGAATTCCAAATTGTCATATAAGTTCATAGCCCACTAAGGATGTGTGCTTACTTCCCGGGTCTTTGAAAGAATACGCTGTTTTCTTTAGAAAAGTTAACTTAGTCAGAAGTGAGTGTGGTTAAGCCTGGTGACCTCCTACGGGGCTCTGCATTGTGTGACTGCATGGACCTCAATTATTTAAAGCATTTCTGCAAGTAATTTTGTGAAAAATTTTTTTGATTTGTGAAAAAATCCGGGCTGTTGAAAGGTATTTAGACTGTCATGTTTGTACTTTCTAAAAAATGCTTTGTTTTTTAATCATAGGTTTGAGATACCTTCAAAGTCTAAATTTTGAACGTATAGTGATGAGCCAGCTAAATCCCCTGAAGATTTGTCTGCCTTCAGTAGTTAACTTTTTTGCTGCAATCACAAGGTAAGTTATTTATACTTTATGGGTGGAAATTATTTAAAAATAAGTTCGTGTTAGTATCAGTATTGTACAATTCCACTAAATTTCTGTGAAATTATTCAGTAAAATTGGTAACCATAAAATGCATAAAAACCAGTAACCCCCTACTTACAGGAAGCACTGCAGTGAAGCTTTTGTTTTTATGCTTTGATGGTACTGGAGGTTGCTAGTGCTTTGTATTCAAAGATGATAATTCAGCGGAAGCCTCGCACTTTGAAATGAGTAAGGCAACCAGTAAGCTGGGAGGTACAGACCAAAGATGTTTCTTAGAGTAATAAACAGAGACCGGCCGCGGGAGGCGTGCACAGCGGCCGGCGGGGGCTGGGTCCCAGGTCCTGCGCACGTGGACGCACGTCACGCAGAACTCGCTGCGTCCTCCCGGTCCTAGGGTGGTGGTGGTAAGTCCTGTTTCACACCGGGATGGTGGGGGCCCAGAGAGACGGCGTGACTCGTGAGAAGTGGCTGCCCGGTGGCCGGGGGCCAGCGCGCGAACGCAGGCCGTCTGGCATTTCCCGAACAAGTCTGCTTCGGGTACAAAGTGAGTTGGAGACTTTGAGCCCTTGGTCAGGGTATTCAGGGTAGGATCATAGCTTAAAATCTTCAACACACAGGAGTCTGTTCTATTAGAAGACAGAGGTAATTCTTTCATCCCTTAGTCCCTTAGACCGATTGCTGCTCTTATTCAGTAATCTTATTTTTCCTTTGCTGGGCATGTAGTTCAAGGTGTTCTGTCTCTCCTGAGATCTCAAAAATGATAACAGAATTAAGGAAAGGAATAAACGACAAGCAGGAGCGTTGGGGGGTGGGGGGATGAAAGGTCCCCACACAGTGTGGGAAGACAGGAGGCGGCAGAGGCAGGAGCCCCTAGAATATTCCTCCGGTGGCAGCAGACTGTCCGACAGGCGTGGGTCTGGGGTCCGGTGGACAGTGGCCTTCGGGGCTCGCGTGTGAGGCTGAGAGCAAGACCTGGGACCGGAGGTCTGTGTCCAACTGATGTGTCATTCTGGGGCTTTTGCTTCCTAAATGGGTTGGGGACGCCTCTTGACCCATACAGGTGCATTTGATTTGAACTGCTGTGTCTCGTTCTGTTAATTGGTTTTTAATCAATCGTTTGTTGGGATTTAAGCTGTTACTTTTTCAGAGTTGGGCCTCGTTACAGGCGTGTCCGGTAGAGCCCTCAGCGACCACAGTCCTGTCAGAGAAGCCCCTTTCCACCAGCCTCCTCATTGTCTTACAGATAGCAGACGCCACTTAGCTTAGAGTATCTTGCCAACCAGGAGAGCCCTACCTCGAACACATTCCGTTTTAGTGAGTCGTGCCTATCCACTAAGCGCCCTCTTGCTCCTTGGCAAGCGTGTAAACAGCAGGCCCATAAGCTGTGCCCTAAAAGCATTGCTTCCTGTTGTATGTGATTGTTTTCTTGCACGTGTTATGTGTGACATCTGTGCGGTCAGCACGGGTGTGACAGGAACAGGTACCTCCGTGCAGAGTTAGTGCACGAGGTTAAAGCCTTCCGTCTGTGTCTTGGCTTTGTTGTTCCGCAGCAAATACCAGCTGGTCTTCTGCTACACCATCATCGAGAGGAATAATCGCCAGATGCTGCCGGTCATTAGAAACACGGCTGGCGGGGACTCGGTGCAAACCTGCACAAACCCACTTGACACCTTCTTCCCCTTCGATCCTTGTGTGCTTAAGAGGTGGGTACTCTCAGCCTGTCGACCGGCTGGGGCACTGTACATGGGACGTGTATTTGCTTCCCCCAGGCTGAGGGTTTCTTTGTCGTAAGTGGCATTCGTATCGGTTTGTCAGCGGCTCAGGGTCCCCGTCGAATGTTTCATGGGCCTTGGGTAGAGAATGCCTGTTAGAGGCTGCGGGGTGTGCAGCCCTGTAGTTCAGGAAGAACCCCGGATTGACACCAAAGGTTTTTCATCTATCTTCTGTTTTCCTGTAAACCGGTCGTTTTCAACACGAAACGGGCTGCCAGTATAGAGGTTCCGGATGGGGAGGATGCTGCCTATTCGTGGCTCACAATTTTCTGCCAGGCGACTTGTTCCTTCCTCTAGAGACCACGTTCCCTGCTGCTGCCGAGGATAAACAGCAGCCACGCCGTTTATCTGGGCGGGTAATGGTGAAAAACCACCAGGCCGGTCTTTAACTTTGCATTTGTATAAGGACATAGGCTTACTGTGCAGCTTCTAACTAGCAACACCACGATGTAGGATTATCTGGCCCCCCAAGTCTTGGTTAACTGAAACCACATTGGTCTTTTTTCCCAGACTAATCTTTAGTAGAATTATTGTAGGAATATAAAAAATGAAATTTCAGAGTAACACAATTTTGTTTTCATTTGAACTTATTCTAACTCATTGTCGGTCCTGACAGACTTGAGAAATAATTTCATTTGAAAATAAAAAGATGAGAAACAGTAGCTGAATATGCCATCTGAGTAGATGAAGCTTTATAAACAAGGAGCCATGTTATTTACAGTACTGACATCCAGTATTTTTTGGCACAATGATTATTTGAGCCATTGTTTTTTTTTTTAAAGATTTTATTTATTTGACAGAGAGACACAGCGAGAGAGGGAACACAAGCAGGGGGAGTGGGAGAGGGAGAAGAGGGCTTCCCGCGGAGCAGGGAGCCCGATGTGGGACTCGATCCCAGGACCCTGGGATCATGACCTGGGCCGAAGGCAGACGCTTAACGACTGAGCCACCCAGGCGCCCCTGAGCCATTGTTTTTATTTTGGGTAATGGATCCTGTTGAGTAAAGAGCCAGCCAGCCAGACAAGTCTGACCTTAAGTGTGGCCTTGAACTTGATTTTGAAATGTGACCTCTGTCGACAGGTCAAAGAAATTCGTCGATCCTGTTTATCAGATATGGGAAGACATGAGTGCAGAAGAGCTTCAGGAGTTCAAGAAGCCCATTAAAAAGGTAAGTTTGTGACTCCGCACACTGGGAACCTCCAGCGTGGTTACAGACCACAGTCAAATAGGACATAGCAGTGTTAAATCTACAAAACATGACATTTTATTCATTCTGCCTTTACAAAAATCCAAGCGCACTATGTTCTTATGAAAAGAATTTTTATTGTTTAAAGTAGACACTCTGTTGTAAGCGGACTTTGGGAAGTGAAGGTTTATTAAAAATCAGCTCAACAAATTAAGATCTTTACCACATGATCATTACCACCAAGTAACAATCTCAAATTTACTTAAGTCTTGTTTTTCATAAGTAATCATTGGAAAGCTCTTTTTTCTTTATATTTTGCTCGGGTCGGAGGGGGGCGGTTGTTCATTCACTCATGCCCATTGTATTAGACACAAGGGGGAGGACGCTGAGCGAGAATGCGTGTCATGCTGCCTGCCCTCTTTGAGCTTAAAATCTGTTAGTTACGACGTGTGATGAGTAGTTGTGTGGGTGGTTGGTCATGAAGAAGTGTGCATCAGAGGAAGCTTCCAAAATTAAGATATGTTTCTTGACCTTCCTCTTTCTAGAAGTGGCACATTCCTGAGAGGAACTCTTGAAATTTCACATTGCCGCTGGTGATCCTACTGATAACCTCTGTTCTTTATACAGGAGGTGGTGGAAGATGAGGATGATGATTTTTTGAAAGGTGAAGTTGGGATCACTCCGAGCTCCTTTGACACGCATTTCCGAAGTCCCTCGAGTAGTGTGGGCTCCCCTCCTGTGTTGTATCTGCCAGACCAGTCCCCTCTGATTGCAAGGATTTGTGATTGAGACGAGCATTCCTCCTCATCGTGCCCTTCAGTACCAGGGCTCACCCTGTTTCGACTAGAGCGAGGACATGCCTCAGGCATCTTACTTTCAAGGTAGACCTACTCTAGTGTCTGGACGGACGTGGTTTTTTTCTTTTTTGCTCCCCTCCAGACAAAAGGAAAAGACTGGATATCATGTGCAATATTTTAGAATGGAGTTGATGATAAATGTTGAAGGCTTGGTTCTTTGTTTAATGTATATTTTATTTCTCTTACAGCTTTCTGACATCATTGTGAAATTTCTAATATTGGCAACAGCCTGTTTTAACCGATTGCATTTTTCACACAGGTTTTGTCTGAGCCGTAGTCACAGGACTGTGTTGATCTGATTTCTTTTCAGTGAAAAAATGCTCTATGTAGACACTGTCGAGTGTCTTTAAAATGATTTACTTTGGAGACATTGTTGCCCCTCAGCTGGAACTGTATCTGTGTGTTGGGATTTCAGTGGGGTGCAGAGGGGACAGGAGGAGGGTGGGGAGGTGGCCAGAGCTGGTCCCTGATGCTGGAAGCTGGAGCTGGTACGGAAGACCCCCAGGGACTTTGGAGACCAATGAAATCCTGGAGGGAAGAGCTGGAGGATTTAGAGAAATAGAAGCAGACAAATCATACACTTGTGAGTTTAAAAATGGGTTTAAAAGAACCATGGAGTTCGGGGTAAATGGAATTCCCATGCACGGAGAGTGGGGTTGGGCTTTTATAAAACACAGCACATGGCATTTTACCCTGAGGCTCCCAGGAGCTGTTAGAACTGGAACTACTTGTTTGTAGGGGAATGTTACTTGGATTTTTTTTTCTTTTTAAACTAGAATCAGTTGGTCATCTTGAGAATTTCTTTGTGCTAACGGCACAGAAAGGGGCGCTTGGGTTAGTTGGTAGAATGGTTTCACTAGCGACAACAGACCAAGGTTACAGCTTCAGCCTCCGTCTACTGGCTGTTTGTATCGTGGATTTCAGCTCGGTGAGATCCTCCTCCGGGGAGGCTCTTTTTGTACTTTTATAACTAAACACTGAGAGAGAGGAGTTGGAACAACCTCACTTTATAACACGTGTGTGCAAACACTGCTAGACTCATTTTGTAGCTAATGCATATTTTAGCTTCGTTCCTTATTTGTGTACTTTTTTGTTGCTTATGAAAATAGACCTCTCTAAACATATTTATTTTTCTGCCACTTATCGTATTATTTAAAAGCAAGCGATATTTTCTTGATCACAAATATTTTGTAATGAAATACTCTCTCTTTCCTGGGGCTTTGTATGCTCTTGTATAATTGTATTGATGGCAATGTAGAGTAAATATGTTTTTGGAAAATAGAAATTTTTATGGGTTTAAAAGGTTTTGGATATTGCGGATTTTCTTTTGGTGACTTTGTGGAAAGTCATTTGAGAACCTTTGGGTTCTCTGTTCTTTTAACTGCTGGCAAAAAGGTGGGATTTTTGTACCCTGGGTAAATGAGTACGTGAAAATGTGTCCCTAGAAGTTAACGGTAAGTGGGCCTTTGTGGGTTGAGAAGTTTTAATGTAGTTAAGGGTATCTTCATAAATAAATGTTTAATTTCAAAGGAGTTTGAGGGAAAATAACATTGTGAAAATAAAACAATGACATGGTTAATCTGGACCTGTGGTTCTTACACCAGTAAAGGAGTCATGGGAGGTACCCCAATAAAGAGGCTTCTCACACAGATATTGTGTTTTCTGTGGTTTTTACTGATCTCTGCTGAAGCTCTGTGAGAAACTGCAGCTGAACCCTTACTCCGTTACAGAGGCAGAGGTCCCGCCAGAGCGGCTGCGGGTGCTGGGAAAGAAAGTACATGCTGCAGAGGAGAGTGACCTCCAGGGGCAGCCAGCGTGTCCGGGATGCCGTGAGCACACCCAGCCACAAGGGCCACCCCCCAGGCCTGAACGGGTTCCAGGAAAACAAACACTTCCTTGAAAAATGCACATGCTTTAAAGGAACATCTATGGGGGGATAAAAAAATTGGGGAAATTCCCTTGGCAATTCTAGAAAAAGGGTTTTTCTCTTCCTCATTGAAAAGCCAGGCTTTCGTTTGGGGTGGGAGTTCCAGGGTCTCTCCTGTTGTCTTGTCGGCTATGGTCGGCTCTTCCTTAACGAGAAGTGGCGAATTTGTCCAAGTATGAAAGGACCGGGGACCTCTCAGGTGTCATGGATAACACACTTGGCGTCTCTCTAGCCAGCTGCGTGACCTTGAACAAGTCCGAGCTCCACTGGGAGCTGTAAGGTGGGCATAACTGTTCCAGACTCGAGGGTTGTGAGGATTCAGGGAAAATGCATGGAAAGGCAGTAGCTGTCCAGCTGCCTTCGTGAGAAAGTAGCTAAGCAGGAAGCCCTTGCATGGAAGGAATTTTTCTAAGGCAAGGGTACCGTGCATTCCATCCACACCAATCGCCTCCTTAGTGCTGAAGTGGTCTCACCTGGAGAGAGGAAGGGCGTTGCCCCGCCCCCCCTCGCCAGGCCTTGCTTATTATGGTGGACCTTAATTCTTGGTCCCAGAATCGCCCTGGGAGCTTTGAAGACAGACACCGTTCCAACAGTGTTTGCTCTGTGAGGTGGCTCTTCATCTCACCCACTAGTTTTGTGAAGTTGCCTTTTGGTTGACGTCTTGTAGAGTTGGGTATATTCAAGGAATATTTCCAAATTGCAGAACAGAGAGTCCCTAGGCGAGAAGCCTATGATCCGTAGGGACTGGGTGGTATCTTGCTGATCGTCACTCCCAGGGTTCTTAGCCCATCAGTGAGTTCCAAGCAGCAAGTGTTACTGATGATTTCTAAATGTGGGGGGCTAGCAAAGTTTCGACTCTATTTTCGCAGTTCAACATTTATTGTTGATTGAACACAGTCCTATGGAGCGGCATAGCCGCTGGTTCCCCGACTCGGATTACCTGCTCAAGGTCAGGATGAGAAGAAGTAGAGCCGTGATCTTGACTCCAGGCAGCCCGACCCCAGAGCCCACACTCGGGCCAGGCTGGCTGATCCGCTAGTCGAGCCAGGGAGGGCACCAGGAGCTGAGGCTCTCGCCTGCAGCCCAGCTCCCCGCCTTTCCTGGACGCCCACGCTTTCGGGACTACATTTCCCAGCGCCCCCTGCGGAGGGGGCTGGCCGCGGGCCCCTCCCTCGCGTTTGGACTACATCTCCCACAGGGCCGTGCGGCCCCGCCCCCGATTTCCCCAGCCGCTCGGGGCTGCACCGCCCCTCCTCCCCCACCCCCCCGGGGGACTCCACTTCCCGGCGGCGCCCGCGGGGGGCGGGGCGGGGCGCGGCGCGGTGGGGCGGCCCGGGGGCGGGGGCCGCGGGCGGCCCGGGGCTGGGGAGGCCGCCGCCTCCCTGGGCCTGCCCGGGCGGCCGCCTCCGCGATGCCGCTGCTCGTCGAGGGGCGGCGAGTGCGGCTGCCGCAGTCCGCCGGGGACCTGGTGCGAGCCCACCCGCCTCTGGAGGTGAGCGGGGCCCGGGCTGGGGGGGGGGGAGGGAGCTTCGAGGCGGGCCCGAGGGGCCCCGCCGGGCGGGCCCGACCCTCCTAGCCCCACCGCCTCCAGCCGCGCTCCCGGAGGCAGAGTTTAAACTTGGCGCAGCGGAGCGACTGGCGGCACGTCGGGAGCCCCGGCCGCCGGCAGCGAGTCTCTGCCTTGGCTCGAGGCGTCTGTTGTGGGGCTTTCCCCTCCCTGGGACCTTCGAGGGCATTCTGCCGAGGCCTCTCTTTGCCGGAGGAGGGGCGGGCGGCCCAGAGAGGTTAGGCGACTTGCCCAAGGTCGCACAGCACCGCGGCCGGAGGGCGCCCGGGGACTTCGCGACCCCCAGCCGGGCTTGGTCCGTTGAGGCCACCCTGGGCAGCGCCCCTGCGCGCTGGCACTCGCCGGGGTCCGCGCCCCGCGGGGAGCCGCTCCTCCCGGCGGGGCTCCGGCCAGGGGCACCCGGCCGCTCCCCCGGGCTTCTCCCCCCCCCCCCACCCCGGGGATTAGGGCCCCCGGGTATTTTTAGCCAGAAGGAAGGGCCCTGCTTTTCCCCCCAGCTGCGCCGTGTTGAGGACCACGCCCTGATGCAAGGGTTAGGTTTTGTTCCGTCTTCTGCTTTTGTCCTCAAGTAGATCTCTGAACCCGTGGTCCATGCTTATGCAGAGGCAGTTTGGAAAGGGGTTCTTAACGTAAAAAAGAAATGGGTCCAAACCTCTCACGTGCCCCAGATCTGGTTAAGGGGGAATCCGTCAGTTCGTTGACTGCAGATACGTACTGAGCCTCCGATGTCTGTCGAGCACCGTGTTCGCCTGTTCCCTACAAGCGGGGCGGGCTGCTTTACAGCCTGGTTAGAGGGGATGGTTTTTGATCACAGAACGGCTCAAACACCGTGCACTGTTAAGTGCCATCCAGGAAGAATGCCCGTTTGCACTGTGAGATGCGAAGCAGACGAGCTTGACCTAGCCTCGAGGCTCACCGAAGGTCGTCTCGGGGTTTCCTGTTAACCGTTGCACACTTTGGAATTATTTTGTCTGCGTACGTGTTGTGTTGATTCTCCCTCGATCTGACCCCCAGAACATGAGCTTCCCGAACAGACTGTGTGTTATTGCTCTGTGTCCTCCGCGCCTAGGGCAGTCTCTGGCTATGAATCTGCACTTTGTAAATATTTGTTATATCCATGAATGAGCAGAAGGACCCCTGAGAATGACCTGAAGGATGAGGAGTTACAGGGAAAAGGGGGCAACTGTGCTTCTCAGCCTGCAGTTCAAGAAAACAGTCGACCTTCCGGGTACTTAGCAGACACCAGGCCCTGTGCTAAGCGCTTTCCTTGGGCTGCATCGCTGTCGCCTCGTTAACTGATGAAGTTGGAGTAGGACTCTCCAAGGGGAAAATATTTCAGCTGCCTAAAGAATTTAGTTGACACTTTTTTTTTTTAAGATTTTATTTATTTGACAGAGAGAGACACAGCGAGAGAGGGGAACACAAGCAGGGGGAGTGGGAGAGGGAGAAGCAGGCTTCCCGGGGCTGGGAGCCCGATGCGGGACTCGATCCCCGGACCGTGGGATCATGACCTGAGCCGAAGGCAGACGCTAAACGGCTGAGCCACCCAGGCGCCCCAGTTGACACTGTTTTTATGTCTCCCTGAGAATTTCTGTGATAAAAAATTAGAAAGAGGAGTGTCCAAAGCAGCACACTCAGTGGGGAGTCGGGGTGGCCGGTCGTCTCGAAGGCCAGCTGCCTGGTGGGGGCCAGTGTGCATTACAGGAAACTGGGGGTGCTCACCGCCTTTGCAGCGGTCTTAGGGAAGAAGGATGGCCGCAGGGGAGAGATGGGAACAGGGGGAGGAGGGGGAGGGCAGTCTAGCTGAGCTCCGTGGGCAAGGAGGGGAAGCACCCGGAGCGCCGGTGGACGGGCCGGGTTCCCGGGCGCAGAGGGGGTGAGGGGAGAGAGTGGGAGATAGAGACCCAGGGAGGTGGGTCGCCCCGGGGTTAGAGGGGTTTCGGAGGATCTTTGACCGAGGAAGCAGTGGGGTGAAATGAAAGCTCTTATTAGTTTTTCTAGAGCTAGTCGTGCGTCCCTTTTTTAAGAGCTAACACATAGACGCCAAAAAGGACACCACAACCACTGTTGTGGTGCAGAGGGTTTTCTTTCCATCCGAATGATGAACTTCCGAAAGTGAGCGCAAACTCCACATTCTGTCCGCTGATGTGTCTTTTTCACGGGACGATCTGGCCTGTGCGGCGGCAGCAGTTACAAACCCGTCCCTAGCCAGGCCTGGCACCGAGCAGGAGTGGCACCCCTTACGGGGACGCCGGGGGCGTGAGTTGCCCGGAGCCCCACGTCGCGGGAGTGGTGAAGCCCGCGTGGGGACCCTGGCGGCGCCGCTCAGTCTGGGCCCCCTTTGCCCCCACTAAATGGGGCCTTATATGTCATCACCACGAAAGAAAACGGAAAACCCAGTTCCTCAGTCATACTAGCCACGTTTCTGGTGCTCCACAGCCACGCGTGGCTAGTGGCTACTCTGAGACAGGGCGGGTCTAGATCCGTGGTCAGCACCGCGGAGCAGTCATTCCTCTGGGCGGTGCTCTCGTCTTCGAGTTCTTGCTCTTAGTGAGTCGCCCACAGGTGCTCAGTAACCAGTCCCCCAGCATCGTGCTAAGTGTGGTTCCATCGAATTCCACGACATGAATGCCCTGTAACTTTGTTCCTGCCTCTCAGCATGCAGGGTATTTCTAAATCTTCGGCGTTTTATGAACATTCACAGAGCTAAGTCTTAATAAATCCCTCTAATTATTCCCACAAGTGAAATTGCTGGACTCAAAGGGTTTCCGAGCAGGAAAGGGATGGAACAGAATCAGCGTTTAGAAGCAGTGATGCCGGCAGCCATCGGGGAGGGTTGTGTGGGTGGCAAAGGGGGACCTAGGGGTCAGGGAAACAGGTGGGCATGGGGACAGCCACCCAGTTAATCCTCACACAGGCTAAGGAGCAGACAGCATCATCCCCTTTTGCCCCGGGGGAAGGAGAACTTGCAGGAAGAACTGACAGACTGTGGCAGCAGGGGAGAGGGACACGTGGTCATACTAAGTGACTGGCTAAGACAGGGGTCAGCACACTCCAGCCCCGGGCCAGATGGTGACTGTGGACAGCCCGTGAGCCACGAATGGTTTTTACATTTTTAAATGGGGGGGGGGGGAGGAAATCCAAAGAGGAGTATTTCGTGACATATGAAATTATATGAAATGAATTCAGATGGCGGTGTCGCCCATGAATGAAGTTTCTGGGGACAGCGCCCATGCGCTTGTTTACGTGTTGTCTCTGCTCTCAGGCTACACAGCAGAGCCTAGTGGTTGCGAGAGGAGACCGCACCCCCGCAGAGCCCCAAATAGTTACTCTCTGGCCCTTTTCAGAGAAAAGTTTGCTGAGCCCTGGCTTAAGCGAGGGGCGCTCAGGAAGAGGAATTGGGAAACGAGAGCCTGCCCAAGAGGGGATTCCTGGGGGACTCCGCGTGTCCAGAGACTAGCAGACGTTGAGAAGACGGGGCTCCTTTATTTCAGGAAGGGGGGGGAGCTCATGAAGTAGCTCTCCGTGTTTTTGCACAGCGGAGAAGTTTGGCTAAACTTTTTTTTCATTTCTTAACGTGGGAAACCCAAACAACATGTTCTTGTCGCTTTGCGGCATCCTCTCTTATGATTTATGCTCCTGTCTGTCTGGGAAATCGGAGCCGGGTTGGGGGGGGCGGGCTGCTGGGACGTCGTGATTTCTGGTCTCGGGTACGCAAGTGGTAGTTCGTGCTCGTACACACGGCTTTGCTTTTGGGTGGCGGCCCCGCGTGAAAGTGGGTGGTCACAAGTTGCCTTCGCCCTCCTTCCCCCGCCCCCGAAAGACTAAAGCAGAAGGTATGTGCTCAAGGGGGAACGCGAGGCAAAGCTGCCTTCTCCCGTCCCCGGCCTGACACTGCAGTTCCTGGGCTCCTTCTGGTTCGTTCTGTGGAGGAGGCACTGTCTTGCTCATTGCCGCCTCGCTTCCAGTTAATGAAGGTTTATGAAAAGAAAACAGGTGTAACTAGTCAAGCTGGTCATGGTTAGTTGGTTTATTTTTACATCTTGTGTTTTACGAAGTTAGCAAGCAGCAACCCGCATGAGCCCCAGGCAGGAGGCAAGCCTGTAAGACCAGAAAGCTCTCTGCTCCAGGCCCGACACTGCGCACTGGGACGGGAATTTGTTCTCTCAGGAGCTTGCTTGTTGCAAGTGAGAAGGAAGTAGGGATACAGCGCTTGTATCCTGTGATGATATAAATCATTGTATCTGTCTGACATCTTCGAGAAAAGTTTCAGTTTTCATTAAAGAATTTAATCATCTGAGGGTTTATTATTATTATTATTTTGAATTTTTTTTAGGCTACTGCCTAAAAATTTTTTTTAAGATTTTGTTTATTTATTTGACAGAGAGACACAGCGAGAGAGGGAACACAAGTGGGGGGAGTGGGAGAGGGAGAAGCAGGCTTCCCGTGGAGCAGGGAGCCCAACGCGGGGCTCGATCCCAGGACCCTGGGATCACGACCTGAGCCAAAGGCAGACGCTTAACGACTGAGCCACCCAAGCGCCACTGCCTAAGATTTTTTTTTAAACCCTAATTCCAGGGTAGTTGCCATCCCGGGTGATACATTTGCTTCAGGCGCACCATCCGGTGATTCGGCGCTTCCACGCACAGGTTCACGCTCACGTTCAAGGAGAGGAAGTTTTGACCCCCGATATTAGCACAGCCTTTCCGTGGGTTGGCTGACTCCCAGCCACTCCTTTCTGGTAGGGACCCCATCAGAGAGCATTTGCAGAATGGAGCCTCCCGTGTGTAGCAGCACCTGAGCCCTGCTGCAGGAACGGCATAGTTAGAGCTTTTACGTTTTGGGTTTTTTTTTTTTTTTTTTTTACACTTTTGTATCTTTTCCATTTACATCGCCAGACCATCCTCCTGTATGTAGCCTTCAGTGTTGCTGGCCGCTTGCGAGCAGCGCGGGGGGGTGCGCGTTCGGGGTGCATACTCAGTGCAGGGGTCCCGAAGTGGGAGGACCAGACGGGGGACAGGGACAGTCCTAGCCTCTCTCCCACCAGGGCTGTGGCTGCGGAGCCGGCCGGGGCACTGGCCCCGACACTCCGATTCCTTTCCCAGTTGCAGAGCTGGGCAGAGTCTCTTGCTCCTGAGTCAGGTCTCGTTTTGGGGTTTCATCAAGGAAGAGAACTTCACCGTTCCTCTGCCCTGTCCCCCACGATAGCGACTGCTGTCCCGTTCGCTTAGCCGGCCCGCCCGGTAGTGCTCCCATGCCGAGCCCTGCGAGCCCTCGCTGGGTACCCAGTCCTCACTAATTTCCATCACTATTTTATTTTTTTTCTTAATTAAACAGGAAAGAGCCAGACTTCTCAGAGGTCAGTCTGTTCAACAAGTGGGACCCCAGGGCCTTCTGTATGTTCAGCAAAGAGAGCTGGCAGTGACCTCCCCAAAGGATGGTAGGTTAGGAAGCCGTGCATTGGGCGTTACCCCCCAAGGCTACTGGGTATTTTATTTTCTTTCTTTTTCAAACAGGCTCCATCTCCATTCTGGGTTCTGATGATGCCACCACTTGTCACATTGTGGTCCTGAGGCACACAGGTAGGAGGAGAGACACGAAGGAGACCGTTCCTTAAAGCGGCCGCCCGTGGGGGGCTGTCCGAGCCCGCGCCTGAGCGTCCCGGGGCCCCGCTCTCCCGCTCTCCGGTCTGTGTGCTGGCTCCCCGTGGCCCGGGCCAGGCGCGCTGACGGGGCAGCACGGATGTTTCTATTCCTTCTCCCTCCAGGCTACCCAGAGATGAGGCGTCCCAAGGGACAGGAGTAGGTGGGCCTGGCGTCCCGGGCTGTCACGGCGAATAACCTGAGTCATTCCACCCTTTCCTTCAGGTAACGGGGCCACCTGCTTGACCCACTGTGATGGAAGCGACACCAGAGCGGAGGTCCCCTTGATCATGAGCTCCATAAAAGCCTTCTCGGACCACGCTCAGTGTGGAAGGTGAGCTCCACGCTCGTCTGTCTTGTGCTGTCGGGAACCGTGCACCGTGGTGTGGCCGCCTTGCTCCCGGGGAGAACTGGCACGGCGTGGGCCCCTCGTCAGTGGTCCTGGGGTGACGGGTACAGGCCGACGGTCCTGAGGGTCTGACTTTGAACCTCCGGCTGTCTTGTCACTCACGTGCTTTGAGATGTTCACGTGTCGGACGTCGCTTTGTTAGACCCCAGATGCTGCCTCCCCGCGTCCGTCTGTCCTTCCGGCAGTCCCTTGTTGGGGGCTTCCTGCCAGCCAGAAGCTGCCCCGGGGCGCCCCCATTCTGAGGCAGGGGGGCCTTCAGGAAGCCCTCCGGGATGGTACGCGGTGGGAAGGGCTGGAGGCAGGGAAGCTCGGCGCGTCTCCCGGGCCGGCCTCGGGAGCGTGTGCCCCGTGCGGGCGGCGCTCGGTGATTTCACTCGGTGCTGGGCGTGCTCCTTCCACGGGGATGCGGGCGGGGGGGTGGTCCTCGCTGGGTTCTGCAACTAACGTGGCAGGTCTGCTGCAGGACGCCCGGGCAGGCGAACCTGGAGCCCCGTGCCCATCACGGCGCCTCCTGCTGGCTCACGTTCGCTGGGGCCCCTTGACACTTGTCCTCGCGCTGGCGACGTGGCCGCTTCAGTGGCCGCTTCGGGTTTCTTGGTCAGGAAGGCTTTGTCTGCCGTAGAAGGCACTGTCCCGGGCTGCGGACAAGGGGATCGGTAGACGAGGGTGGGGGACGCAGGGTCCAGCAGGGGAGTTCGGGGTTTCCAGCCGCGGGGCTTCTCAGGACTCGGCCGTGCTAGTGTGTGCGGGGACCGTCCTCGGGAGGCTCGCCCCGAGGGAGCGGCAGGGGGTCCCCAGCTTGGAAAAGCTGGTGTAGCGGGTACGTGTGGCCTTAGGAAACAGACCCCGTTTCCCTCTCGGCAATGGAGGGGCTACTCGGTCCGTCCGGGTGCGGTGGACGGGAGATAGCACCGTGAGGGGCCCACCGCAGTCCCCGCGGTGCGCCGCCTCCCCTGCCCAGCCCCGCGCCCCCTTAGGCTGAGACGTGTCCGAGGTTTCTGGAAGCACCCCGCGTCGGGTGGGTGAAAGCGGGCGGTAGGCCTGCTCCTCCGGAGCGGGGCGTCGTGGCGGTGCCGCTCGCCGGCACACGCAGCTCCCCTGGGCCGGGTCCCCGGCGGCTCGCGCAGCCCTGGCAGCCTCACCCGTCTCCCCTGGTGCCGCCCGCACGTGTCCTCCCTGCGCCACGGCGCGGACGCGGCCCGCGGGAAGCACCGCCGTAGCGCGGCCTCGTGGACGGCCCTCTGACCCCCGTCCCGTCTCTTTGCCAGGCTGGAAGTGCACCTCGTGGGAGGCTTCAGTGACGACAGGCAGTTGTCGCAAAAACTTACCCATCAGCTTCTTAGTAAGTGCCCCGCGTTCCCCCAACTCCGACAGAAGTCTGCGCCCGCTGAGGCTCAACCTCGGAGGGGCGCCGCTGCTTGGAGCCGGGACTCGGGCAGGAGGGGCGCGGAGCCCGGTCTTCAGGGGCTGAGGGGACGGGGGCCCGAGTGTCCGTGCGACAGCAGTCCACCCGGCCCCAGATAGCACTGACCTGTGTACGGGCAGAACCGCCCTCTGGGCCGTGGCATCCATTTCAACCTGCAGAACATTAAAACACGACTGAAGCCAGTTTTCCCTACTGAAGTAGCATGGAAGCCCCCGCTCTGGTAGCCACGAGGCAGCGGGCTGGGGGAGTCGCTGCTGCAGGCTCTGGGCCAGGCGACCTGGCGTCTGGGCTGGAGTCTTCTTTAAAATCTTTTTGAAGATTTTATTTGTCAGAGAGAGAGAGAGAGGGAGGGAACACAAGCAGGGGGAGTGGGAGAGGGAGAAGCAGGCCTCCCGACGAGCAGGGAGCCCAATGCGGGGCTCGATCCCAGGACCCTGGGATCCTGACCTGAGCCGAAGGCAGACGCCCAACGACTGAGCCACCCAGGCGCCCCTTGGCTTGAGTCTTAAAAAGGTTTCATGTCCTTTGACCCAGTAATTCCCACCTGGGAATCTAAGAAAATCACCTGCAACGTGCGCAGAGACGTATGCCCAAAGATGGGCAGTAAGAACGTTCTTTACGTTAGGAAATAGTCTAACGTCCATCAGTAAAAGCTATTAAGCAAGACTTAGAATTACGTGGGAAGGTAGGTGCGTCGTGGGGACATAAAGTTGCCCACCTGGAGTGGGCTCAGCGGGGCGCAGGCCAGGAAGAAAGGAAATGCACGCGCTGCTCACTGCTGGGACTATGGACCTTAAAACCCCACGTACTTAGGGGCACCTGGGTGGCTCAGATGGTTAAGCGTCTGCCTTCGGCTCAGGTCATGATCCCAGGGTCCTGGGATCGAGCCCCACATCTGGCTCCTGGCTCGGCGGGGAGCCTGCTTCTCCCTCTCCCTGTGCCTCTCCCCTGCTCATGCTCTCTATCTGTATATCAAATGAATAAATAAAATCTTTAAAAAAAACAACCCACGTACTTAGACCAGTAAAAACCCATATGCTCCTTATATTTGCCTGTATTTCCTTTTGTTTTGTTTTTTTAGTGATCAAGTTTTTTATAACTGTTGCTTAAGAGTAAAAAGCTTACGCGTCAGCGGTCCCCCACAGGCCTCAGCAGGGAGAGAGGAGGGGATAGCCTCGGTCAGTTTGCTGTGGGCCTGGGGCTGGGAACGGGCCTGTCACTTGGCCCGCGGGGTGCCGTGGCGTCCTTCCGTGGGAATCTGGCCCCTTGTCGCCTTGCTCAGCCTGTATGCTGCTAACTAGAAACTCTCGTTGTAGGTGAATTTGACAGACAAGAGGAGGACATTCACTTAGTGACACTGTGTGTGACAGGTGAGTTCTGCCATCCTCCCCAGAGCTGGTGCCCTCACCCTCAAAGCAAGACCTCGCACAAGCACGTCGGTCACGGGAGACAGTCTGGCAGCGCCTGGCTGACGTGTGTGCCACTGGTGTTGGCCATGGCCTGCCCCTCCCCTGCGCCACCTCTGAGGACACCCTGACCCCCACCTTCATCCTTCCCCGGCCCCTTCCCCACGCGTGGCGGATGGCTGAGGGTGTAGGGGGCCGGGAGGCTCTAACTCGGGACGGGGCACTTTGCGGACCGTCAGCCCCCCTGCTCGGGGACCCCCCTGCTCGGGGACCCCCCTGCTCGGGGACTTGGCAGGGACGCAGGAAAACGGTCCCTTGTGTGTTCCGATTTTCTTCTTCTTTTGCAGTGTGGGCTCCCTCTTGGCGTTAATTGTGGAACATGAAAGCAATTGTTGTGTATTTCTTAGATCTTAAAAAGAACCTTTTTTTTTTGTTAGAATTAAATGACCGGGAAGAAAACGAAAACCACTTTCCAGTAATTTATGGCATCGGTAAGTAGCGTGTTTGGTCGAGGGTCAGAGGCCAGTCCCGGGCCGGCAGGGCGGGCTCCGGTCACGTCGTGAGCCGGCTGTGCTCACTGTGTAGGTTCCTGTCCTCACTCCTCTGCGGCCCCGGGCAAGCAGCATGCCTTCTCTGCCCTCTGGCTACGAAACTAAGAATGTCCACAGCCCGAGAGCACAAGGACAAACAAGGGAGCGGGTAGAAAGCAGAGCCAGTGGCACGGGGAACAGGGCTCCGGGGTCAGGAGCGGGCATTCGCGTCTCTTTACACATGAACCACCTGGTAAGGTCTGGTCGCGAACCCAGTTCCTCCTAAGCAAAGTGTAAAGTTCTTCGGGCTCCAGAAAACCCAGAACCCTCTCCTGCGACAGCCCCTGGGGCCGCTGAGGTTGAGCAGGGGGAAGCTAGCTGTGTTTGCAGAGGACTTCTGTCCCATCTGTGATAGCGTATGGAGCCGGGTACACACGTGTTACTCCATTCCCTAGAACATTTAACATTTAAACAAAAACACCAGATTTGGCCGTGATCCCAGGCCACACTTCTGCCCCCAGCCGTTCAGAGATCCGTGCGGTCCCAGGGCCGAGCAGGGAGGTTTGCCATGCGCCTGCTTGGACGGATGGCGGGCTGCCCGTGGGCGCAGGGGGAGCCACTCTTGGTTTGGGGCGAAGTCTTCCCAAGTCCGGCCCAGGCCCTGCCGTGTGCGCGACAGGCTTGGCTGCAACGGGGCGGTGGTCAGAGGCCCGCACGGGAGTTTCCCTCTGCACGAAGGGGGAAGCTACACTCCTCACAGTGGAAATGGAACAGAATGACTCTCCTCTCTCTCTCTCGGGGAGACTCACCACGCTCTGTTACAGGTGGTAGAAATGTAAGACCATGCAAACTTTCCATCTGTGTCTTTAGTCAGAGAAAATGTTGTTTGTCCCCCCACAGCTGTCAACATTAAGACGGCAGAGATTTACCGAGCATCCTTCCCAGATCGGGGTCCAGAGGAGGAGCTCCGTGCTGCCCGAGCTTTAACAGGAGGACCAGTGAGTTTGAAATCATCTTTGTGTTAAGGGGTTCAGGGGGGAAAAAAAGGGCATCGCAGTCCAAAGCCTCAAGTTTTGTAGACCTTAGAAGTGAACAGTTCATCGAGTTTCTTTAAAGCTATAAAATGATCAGGGATCAGCTCGCTCTCTCCCCCACACACAACAAAGAATAATGAGTGATTTTAGCTTGTAAGCTCAAGACCCCAGTTCTCTGCCTTGAAGGTGTAGAGGGAGAGAACATGTGCCCCACCATTCACTGCAAAGAGAACGGACCCCTTTTACTTGGTGCAACCTTTACCTACATGTCCCACAAGGAAAGGAGACCCAGGCAGGGGGAAGAAGGGGTTTCTCCCTCAGCAGCACACGCTCCTTTGGACCAAGTCCTTGAAGGGCCATCTGCTGGAACAAGTGGATTAATCCAAAAGAATGATCAGATCAGTTTTTACAAGTCTGATCGCCAGGGATGCTTTTGAATATTAACACCTTAATTTTGGAAGTTAGAGAAATAAAAACCCAAGCCTTACGTGCCGTTTAAAAATACTTAAAGGGTGCTTTCACTCCTTCTCTGGTGTGAGAGACCCGACAGCGCATTCACCCCCCACCCCCTCCCCGCAGAGGTGTGCACACGGATGGGGTGTGGACGTTTTCGTTGGAGAAATGTTTGGCTTCAGAGCGATCTCTTTTGCCAACCAGTGCACAGCTGGAAGGTTCCTTCTGCACTTTCTGCAGCCGCACGGTGGCCTGGACTCTGCTAACTTCAGCACCTAGCTCAGTCTCAGGAACCCAAACCCAGCGCTGCTGGTTCGAACCCGCCACTGGCAGCTGAGGGGATTCGGGGAATTGATCGTTGGGCAAATGAGCGTTTGTACAAGTTGGTTTCTCCTGGCTTTCGATGGGCGGCCTGCACGGTGTGCTCTGGAGATGCGGGTACGTGGGTGCTTGGGCACAGGTTTGTGCAGCAGTGAGTCCGGCCGCCGTGGACTTGGGTCGGGCTCGGCTGCGGGCCCACTGTCTGCCCCCCTGAGCCTCAGGTTTTCACCCCAAGTGGGAAAAACACTATCTTCCTCAAGGACTGTTGTCAGGACTGGAGGAAATACTGCATGTTACACAGGGCAGTAGTGGCTTTTATCAGGAGACGTTTTCGAGAAGCTTAGCCTCCAGGTACATGCGTGACTGCTGGACTGCACTGGGCTGGTGTTACTGGTGGGGTTTGAGAAGCGGGGAACATGCCTTACATTCTGTCCTGGAAATGTTCCTTCTTAGATGATTAGTATTTACGACGCAAAGACAGAGCAACTGCGTATAGGACCGTATTCCTGGATGCCCTTTCCACACGTGGATTTCTGGCTGCAGCAAGACGATAAGCAAATACTAGAGGTGAGAATTTACAGGTTGGGTGAATCCTAACTCTCTGCACCCTGGTTTCTTCATCTGTAAGAAAAAAAAAAGTTTAGAGCAGAGGCGCTTTTCTTGTGGTGGGTAGTAGTTATTTTTAGGATGCTATCGGCAGACCCCGTTTAACTTCTAGATCAGCAGAGAAGTCAGGTCCCGGCCAGGCATTTGCATGGGTCGGAAGGAGTCTGCAAGCAACTGCTCTTTTCCCATTACTGCAGGACCCCTCACGTTCTAGGTAATTTTATCGTGGATCTATACTGGGTGATCTGAACATCCAGATCCATGTTTAAGAACACGGAGATACTTCGACAGCGCTATCATGGAGGGTAACAGAGCCAGGTTCTTCCTCTCTCATACGCGGAATCTTGTTTTTCCAGAACCTTTCCACTTCGCCTCTGGCTGAGCCGCCCCACTTTGTGGAACATATTAGGTCTACCTTGATGTTTTTAAAAAAACACCCATCTCCCACCAGCGCACTGTTTCCTGGAAACAAGGCTCTGCTCTACAAAAAGAATGAAGGTGGCTTATGGGAAAAGATCTCTTCTCCAGGAAGCTAAACACGGGATCACCAAAGAAAGCAACTTGTTGGCCTGACAAAGACCACCGTGGGGGCTGCAAAGAATGCGCATCAGAATCTACATCTGCTGAGTCTTAGGTCTCCTTCCTTACTGTCCTTCAAATGACTTTCAAAATAAAATCTTATTTTGGCAAAGGCATTTGTTTAGGTTTACTTTCTGCTCGCTGAAGCTGACCTCCAGCCTCTCCTTCTTGGTAACACGAGCACCAGAGGGGCTGCCTGCCTCGCGACTGGACAAGCTGCCGTTTCGGATACGCGGTGAGTATTAATTCTGTTTAGTCAGGGAATAAAGGAAAAACGATAAGTACAGTACAGATAAACAGTATTTAAAATGCACTGAAATTCTGTGACAATTTATGCATCTCACCGAGGGGTTTTTTTTGGCCCCAAAATGTTTTAGAAACATCAATTAAAACTGGTATTACACTTCTAGATGGAGATGAAAAGTTCAGAATCTGATCAGTCTGCTGTGCAATATAATTAAAATAATCTAGGAGACTACATTTAACGTGAGAGTTACACAGAGCCACTGCTCAGTCTGTTCTTTTAGTGTAAGGTCGTTAAAATGCCCACATTGTGATATATGCCAGTTACACCTGTTAGAGACTTTTAGGTTTCTGAAGTTGCTACCCTAAAGGCGGCAAGCACAATGCCTAATTACTGTGTAGAAACTAAACTCACTGGTAACAATTTCAAGAACCTTTATTGAAACCAACATTCAAATAGTGTCTTAAGGGTGAAATTCTGTTTCAGCAAAACCAATTTAACAATTCCAAATATATATAAAAACATTTAAAAATTAATCTTGTTAAAGGTGATAATTTCCCCTTTCCCCATTTTATCTGCTATACTTCATTGCACCAAATAAACAGGGAAGACTTTAATCATCTGCACACACACAAAAAATTGCATTTTGACAAGTGCCAAATGTAGGAGATCACATCCAATCAGAGTCGAATTATAGGCTTAATATGGTGTAACTAAGGCTTCCAACATGACAGTTCACAAACCCAGTGTGAAACCCCACTATCTTGAGGTGTCCCGTAGCTTGACTTGGCTGGACTAAAGGCACAGGGGCCATTAGCTAGGATAAATGAGGAGACGCAGTACTTCTAGAAAAGTAGAAACAGGCAGTATTTAAGGGCTTCCAGTTATTTCTGCAGTGGTCTGGCTTGACTAGCCTGAGCAAGATGACTTTTCTGGTTCTTGTTTCTGAGCTGGGCCCAAAGGGGTGAGTTGCTAGTGGGGAGAAGCCACAGAAGCTCCCATGTCAAATGGGTCAGAGTTAAGAATTGAAACTTAACTGGGTGCTACACAGCGTAGTTAATAATTAGGTTAAGAGTAGCATCTCTATCAGGTTTTCGGATATTAAACATAGAAATGAGCACAGTCTGTACCTGTGTGCCAATTTAAAAGCTTTACCAATATTTAAAAATATACATGTATACGGTCAAGAGTTTTACAGTTACTCTTCATAGATAGTCCTTTAATTTGTTTACAAATAGTACATAAAGGGAGAAGTGGATCTGCGGCAGGGGGGCTTCCCCACCCCCACGCCCCCCGGGGAAGCAGCAGGGGGATGGCGGGCGTGGGCTCTCTTTCAATCCCACTGCATCCCGTTCTCCTTCAAGCCAAATCCACACAACCTGCCCAAACTGAACACCCGATTCCAACATGGAAAGCCGGCTGTCTCTCCCGAGTGGCAGTACAGCGGAGAACCCAGAGAGTTCTAAAGACAGCTGTCTTAGCGAAAAGTTATACGTAACCTCATACAACGTCTTACACTTACGTTCAGAACGGTAACCGCAAGTGTTTCAAGTGGCAGGCACTTGAAATTCTAAGTGTTCTTTGTGAATCCAAGTGTTTATGGTAACGGGGGGAAAACGGCATTGACGACAGCTGGGTAGACAGAAACAACAGTAGTTGCTCCGCGTACTAGTGGAATTAGACAAGTCAATTGCCCTTCTAAAAAGCCTGGCTTTCAGGCACGTATTTGTGCAAAAAATCCCAGTTAAGCACAAATAACAGTAATTTCTCTTGCATTAGCACGTGGCACGGTTCACATTTTCAGTATAACTTCATCTTCCCTGAAACAATACTCAGTACAGTCTCAAAGCAAAACAGTGAATTTTATCTTAAGCTCTCCAGTTCTTCTACCTGTGGACGGTCATCTTCTGGGTGCTGGGCCCCGTTCTGGAGGGCCCCCGTCTGCTCGGTGTCCTGCGGGGTGGGAGCCCCAGGGTGGGGCGCGGGGCTGCTGGTCTCCAGGGCATCTTGCTCTGGCCCACCGGTCAGATGCTCCATCTTTTCTAAGTCTTCAATGTGGCTGACCGAGCTTGTCTCGCTCAGAGCATCAGAACCTCTTAGGGACCTCTTAAAAGGCTTCTGACCTAGAGAAAGAGCCATGGACAGTGCTGAAAGCTCTCTGCGACGAGCGACCGCTTTATTTAATCCCAAGTGCTTCTGGAGAAACCCCTCCGATCCCAGGCTCTGATGCCCGGAAGTGAGGAATGAGAACTGGCAGGACTCCAGCATGGCTCCTGAGGCCGGGAACCTCTGGGGTCCCCATCAGGAAGAGCTCAGGCGAGGACAGCTTAAACATGATGCCAGCTCTCAAGACCCTGACCACCCCCGTCAAGTGCTACGGAGAAATTTCTCCACGGTTTAAAGCTCAAGGCGACGGACATAGTTAAAAGGACAACCAGTCTTAAGAGAAAACAAAAGGATGCAGGTAACACCGAACAGGAAAAGCCCCCCAGGACGCAAGGGTCTATGTTCCAAGAGGAAGCACCAGTTCTCCTGTACCTGGAAGTCTCTGCCTCGTGCGGGTGCCCGAGGGGGTCTGTGGCGGTGTGACTCCCGTGCCTTGTACCTTGTAGACATAGGTGTGCTCCGTGGACTCCAGGGAGCCTGCCGACGAGAGAGAGAGAAGTGTGTGCAGAAACTCCTGGCACAGGCCGCCCTGGGAGCTGACCCATGCAGCCTCGTCCCCCTAGAAGCTTCCTCCGGCTACTGAGCCTCGCTCACACCAGCAGAGCCTTCGGCCCTCCGGAAACGCACTGGGAACTGGAGAAAGCCCCTCACAGCGCTCCTCGCGAGGCCCAGCCCTGCTGGGGTGTTCCACCCTGAACCTCCCCAGGGACCCTGCATCCCTGGGACATGCCTGGGGATCCACGCGCGAGTGGGAAAGGTGCTTCAGCAGCAAGGAACAGGTGCCTCTCTGCTGAAGGCTGGCGTGTTCAAAAATCAGATTACAGTCCTAGGAGATTGCAGCCATCATTTCCTAGGGAGGGGCCCCAGGCTGAGGGAGCTGTTCCCCGAGTAGAACAGAACAGGAAGAGACCGACAGCAGGACATCATCTTCCCCCAAGTGCCGGCAACTGCTCACACTTGCTGGGGGCCTGGTCTCAAATAAGCTGGCCCGGTGCTCCGGACTCTGGGCTTCTCATCTCCCCTTTCAGAAGCAGCCTCTTGCTGAGGCCAAGCACTAGTGAGACCGCAACAAGTATTAACGCTCAGCACTGAGCAACAGACACCATGTGGAGGACACGAACGGCCAAGGGGGCACGTTCCCACGGGCTTCCAGGAAGAGGGGTCTGCTCTTGTGCGGCTGCAGCCGTGGGGGCCAGAGAGAGAAGACGCTACACCGCAGTGTCCCCGGGGCAGACCCAGTGCGGAGCATGGGCCGTGTGGGCACCGGGCTCCTCCACTCGTGTGTGGGATCACCGGAACTGGGTCAAAATGAGACCTGGGATGACACTTGTCAGTCCTACCTGCTGTTAAGTTAAAGGTTCTCCCCTTCTGTGAAGCCTGTACTGGAGAAAACCAGTTCAGGACGGACCCCACGACAGGGATCTGCCGCAACACCCCCTGCAAAACAGAACCATTGCTCATGACCATCCCGCCAGGGGTTCCCAGTGTGGCGTCAGCTAGGAGCTCTGTGCTCAGCCTCACCTCTTCCAGAAGTCGCTCCTCGTTTGCCTTCTGCAGCTGAACCTGAGCTTCCTGAATTCCTTTCCGAACCACCTCTGTCATGTTTTCCAGAAGCTGTGTTAGGACCAAGGAAGATGTTACTTGTCCAAGATTTTTTTTTTAAAGATTTGACTTTATTTAGAGAGAAAGAGTGCACGCAAGTGTGGGGAGAAGAGGGAGAGAGAGGGAATCCCAAGCAGACTTCGTGCTGAGCACAGAGCCTGACGTGGGGCTCGATCCCAGGACACTGAGATCATGACCGGAGCCAAAATCAAGAGTCAGACACCCAACCAACCGAGCAACCCAGGTGCCCCAGTTGTCTAAGCTTCTTGCCTGAGACCTAGAACTATTACCACAGCATGTGCGACATTTTTCAAAAGTATATTAGTAAATGGAATTCTGCACTTTTTAAAAATATCAGGATACAAAGTAAAATAGGAAATTAAACAGAAGAGGATAAAATGCCTGGATAAGGGTAAGACACGCCTTGGTGACCAGCCTCATCTGCCAGCGAAAGGAGAAGAGAAATGTGATCTGAATGTCTTACCAACAGAAAACAGACACTGCTCAACATTCATGGAAGTGGAATCGGAAGTGACAGAGTGAGTTCAGCAGAACCTTTAGGAAGTCCACCGGAGAATGAATAAAGCCGGCTCCTCAGGCTCACAGCCAACTTCCTACCAGGAGTGGGCCGCCGCGCACACGCCCCGGTCTCCTCAGACCCCTCTTGCTTTAGTTCCTTTTCTCTGCTTCTCAGGGATTTCTACTGACTCAAGTACCTGGTCTGCAGAACGACCATGAAGCTTACAGCCTGGTCTCCGTGCCAATTGGCTAAAAGGAGGTCTACTACTGGCGGGGAGTTCTGCTGTGAGAAACATGTGCCTCATGCAGCACCAGGACCAGTTACGCTCAGGAACTCTCCCCTCACCCTCTCAGGCAGACGTGGCCGCGTCTTCCCGAATGCTCTGCTACCCCTAACTTCTCCCCATCGGCATTTGCCGCCTTGCCCAGCTATGTGGATCTCGGCCCCCCAGTGCTGAGCCCACCCAGGGCAGGGGCTGTGTCCAGTCTTCGTGGGCTTCTGGATTCCTGGCACAAGGTTTAGCTCATGGGAAGCATTCACATGCTTTTTGGGAACGAACAGATGTTTCTGAGGGGAGCTTCT